CAGTCGTCTAAGGCGCCGCAATTCAATGTGCAGAGTTGCGTACCTTGGGCACGCCAGAAACCTATGGTTGTGGGTTCGCCCCGATTATGTTTCTAGGTTAGTCAGCACCAAACCCGTGCTTGTGGGTTTCACCGAAGTGGTAAACGTCATAGACCTGCATCACGTCCGGCTTTCCTCCCACATTAAGCTGACACGCCGTGATATAACTGGAATACTGTTAAAAGCGGGGTTAAACACAACTCATTCACTCTCAATTCAGCTCTGTTTAACAAACGTATCCGAAGAACATATCCAGCATCGTTTTCACTATCTGCGAACTTGGGTGAATAGCTGTAGATTCCAGAGCAACTGTCATATCCCAGAAGTCGAGGTAAACCACCCGGTTGTTGAGATCAACAAACTTTTGTTTCAGAATGTTCTCATACACAGGACCCCACATCCCGAACTGAGTGGTTTGGGGCTTACCTGAAACCATATGTGGTCCTTTGATAGCAATTGTTACATCCGGAGATCGTATCAGTAATTCTTCTATCGCCTGTCTAGTTCGCTTCACTCGAGATCGATACTCATCGATTCAAAAAAATAAAAGCGACAAAACCCTCTCCAGAAATCTCTTCTCGCTCTCACAGGTTGGGCACGGGCGTTATCATGCTGAAACTCGTGGTTGCGGCGACGTGCCAAAAGAGCTATGGCGTGTGGTCTCAAGACTTGATCAATGTACCGAGCTGCTGTGACACCATTGCCTCTCCCTTGACCGATGTTCTGGAAGACCACAGGGCCGACCCTCTGTGAAAGACCAATTCAACCCCACACCATGATGCTCGGACCACCCCACGAGTCTCTCTCAACAACACAAGCATCCGAATAACGTTCCCCACGGCGTCGCCTGACTCTCTTTCTGCCATCTGCTGTTGAGATACAGTAACGGCTCTCGTCTGAGAAGAGGACTCTTCTCCACTGCTGTTGGCGCCAATGCTGGTGCTGTGTTGCCCACTGAAGACGGTCCCGGCGATGACGTGGTGTCAGAATGGGTCCTCGGTGTGACCTGTGACAGTGGAGGTGTCAATCGACGACGCACGGTGTCCGCACTAATGTGTCGCTGGTGTGTCCCCATAGTCTGTCGAGCAGTTTCCGCAGCAGTAACAAAGCGATCTTGAAGATGCTGTCGCACAATCTGACGATCCTGGCGTCGGGTGGTGACCCTTGATCTTCCACTACGTGGTCGGTCATCTGTAGTGTTGATGGTCTGGTACCGTTGCTTGAGCCTGTATATGGTCCTTACGTGGACTTGACATGGACATTGGTTACTTGCCGGGCTGTTTGCCAGCTTGCAATCGCCCAAGGGCTTGGTGTCGCTGATTTCTTGTCAATCTTGGCATGTGGTAGCAATTCAATAACGAATGAATGTTATCCGATCTAGGTGGATTTTATAGGGATAAAAATGGGGGAACGCATGTGAATTTCAATTTGCACGGAAATCACGTGCATCGGGTTACCATGGCGGTTGCCGTGATGCGTTAGTGATATGCACATCTCCTAGGCGACCAGCCGTAGTGTGATGTGCATATATTTAGATATAAAGGCGTTTTCTGCCACGTTCTTGCTCACTTACTTTTGAGCACAATTTTGACCCTGTTTCATATAGCATTCAGAAGTGACAGTATTAAAATAGTAATATTAACATCTATATCTATCATATAATGGGTGGGTTTCTTTGCAGGATACAGCCAACGGATAAAAACGATATCCGTTGGGGTCATATGTGGATAGAGATGCAAATATCAAAGGTCAAGTAGGGACTACTTTCAGTGTTTATAAACAAATATGACCGCCTCCGTGGTCTTGTGGTAGAGCGTCCGCCCGGAGAGTGGAAGGTCCAGGGTTCGATCCCGGGCCGCGTCATACAAAAAGACGTTAAAAGATTGTACTTGTTGTTACCCTGTCTGGCGCTCGGCATTAAGGGGCTAAAACAAGGACTGGTCGGCTCGGAGTCAGTATACTGTGTCTGAGTGGGGTATTCATGTTAAACTGCGGCATGGTATCTCAGTGAGCTAGCACTATAAATCGGCATCAGTCCGGACTAGTACAAGCAGCCACACACACAAATACACGTGCACGCACGTCGCTATATAAGTGCAATAATCTTGGACGCGACGTTAAACCCAATTTCACCTCACCTCACCTATAAACAAATATGGCGTCGCCCTTGTCATTCGGCAGTCGAGTCAGAATATTTACCATCGGGAATTTGGAGAAATTACTGGGATCATTGCTATCATTATTAAAAGAACAGTCTTATATACTGAAAATCAGTGTCTCACTGTAACTTAGCTTTGGAGATATAAATTGCGAAACAATTTTGCGAGGGCACGAGGCCTAGCCGAGCGGGATCTTTACACACTCCGTCGCAGTGGTGACTCAGCATAGTGTTATATAGTACTATGCTAGCTGGCTGCCGGCCGCATGGAACTCTGGGTATGAGAGTGGGATCTTTAGTCATATCTGTAATTGTTGACATCTGCGGCCTGGAATGTTTTCCACAAATAAAAATTGTTGGATTTGACCCAAATATTGTCGAAATATGTTCGAATTGTTACCTTTTTTCGTTTTGTCCCTGTGTGTACATCTGACTGCACTTCTTAACGTTATGACTGGACAGACTGTCAACAACATCTGACCGTCACCGTGACGTCTCATAGACTAGGGTTAGAGTAGCTTCCCTTTGATAAAGGGCAGCTACTCTAGCGGACAGACCGATGGATTGCCGCGAAAGGCAAGTAAGAACAATTTGTGCAGGCAATTGTTGTTTTGCGTATATATGTTGTTTCGCCACTGTATAAGAAACATATTTCATTTGGAACTATTATATTGGCTACTGTCACTGTCCGAATGACACATCACTTACCCTGTGACGTAATATATATTAATGCGCGCATTCCAGGAAACCTTGCAATGTTTCGGTAATGTTTGTGAGAGATGGAAACCGATTTTCAAAATGACATTATATGATAAAGAGGTTATCACGCTTGTGTGTTTTGGGATGGTAAATATCCTGTATTAGGAATAAACACTATGTATTTAACTCGCCAAGGCTTGCTAAATACAATGTCTATTCCTAATACGGGATATTTGCCATCCCCAAACACACAGCGTGTAAACAAGGACTGGTCGGCTCGGTGTAAGTATACTATGTCTGTTTGGGGGTATTCATGTTAAACTGCCGCATTCTATCTTAGTGGACTAGCACTTTAAAATCGGCATTAGTCCGGACTAGTACAAGCAGACACATGCATGCACGCATACACTAACACGTGCATGCGCGTCGCAAAAAAATGCCATAATCTTGAACACGACGTTAAACCCTATTTCACTTCACCTACTTTCACAGTAGCTTGATCAAATGGCCAGTGGCATGGAGGTACTGCAGCGCTGTTTTTCTACCACTTCCAAGATGACCCTGTAGGCGCAACAAACGCTGGTCGAGGTCACAATAGATACCTGAACGAAGCCCCATGATCAAGTTGGTGACGCTTCACTCTTTGAGCATAGTCCACCCGACTGATGTGAGTGAAAAACTGAAAGATATCCGGATGGGCTATCTTCAGTTGTGAAAATGAGAAATGTGCTTGAATTCTCGGGAAAATCTCAATCTCTCGTAAGAGGCGACTAACGGGATCGGGCGGTCAGGCTCGCTGACATGGTTGATTCATGTCATCGTACCTCTATTGCGTAGATCAATGCTCATGATGTCAATCAATGGATTTTCTGGTCCAGACTCGATTATTTACAGGCCGCCGTCATATAGCTGGAATATTGATGAGTGCGGCGTAAACAACAAACAAACAAAACAAACAACAAAACAAAGTTGAGGACCTAGGGAGAAAGTAAATTGCACAATCCAATTATTGTCATTGCTAAATAGTGTTCCTGTTTGTAATTTTTTAGAGCACACAACCGATGTGAAAGAAAAGATAATCAAAAGCTGCCCGGAAGGAGCGATTGGTATCAATGCCTCATTACTACCATATACTAGAATACCATTTGGTACATCACAAAATATAGGTAACGAACAATATTTTAACATTCACCGTCGATTGGCGTTTGGACACTAATTATATTTCATTCTGCCATGAATTAGGAAAGTACTCGATTTTGAATGAGGTTTGATCAGGGATTAACAAATAACAAAAAATCCCCTCGATTTCACGGCCGCATCAGGGATCAATACGCCAATATTTTTGGAATAGTACTTCTTTTACAGCCATTATCGGTAGGCATATTTTAATAATTATATTACAATTTTAGGCTACAAAATGCAAAGATGTGGTTACAAAAATATTCAAAGAACTCGGGCAATACATTTCGTTCAGAAAACAGTATAGAAATCTACAAAGAGAATGACCACCTCATGTTAGCTTACGAAGTTTCCGTGCTACACACTTTCAGTGCCTGACATAAGTTCGAGTGAAGTATTACGGTGTTAACAAACTGCTTGAGCACGTAGAGTGCCGTGTTTGTTTTAAAGGCTGTTATCGGTGATTCAGATCGACAACCCACTCGAAACACTGGACTCAACCCATGCCGCTTCACTCAATGTATTTGCAAACACCCAAGAGTTCGTGTTTTATTTCGTCATGGTAGAAGGGAGATAGACATACTGTGTTTCCAATGTAGAGCTAGGTTACCTGTAGATTTAACCGCGCTACATTTAACATTTAACTGTGCGTTCGGTTCCAAATTCAAGATTTTAACTCCACATTGAAAACAGTAGATCTATACAGTACATGTATCTCCTAACTCATTTACTATAAGTGAGTGAGCAATTCAAATTGATATATCGAAAAATGATAGTAGTAGCAGCAATAGTGACTGCTAGTACCTGGCCTTGAAACGATATTCATAAAATAAAAAAACAGGGCTGAAAAAGAAGACTAAAATCTAACAAGCAGCTTGTGTATATACCGTATATGTTCTTAGTGGTCCACAGATTGTAATAACTGGCGATGGTTACCTCCCTTTGATGTGTTCTTTGAGAGTTCGTCTAGTTTTGTGTCACAGTTTACTGGTGCGTTTTCTTTCACATGCTTGTGTCATGATGTTACATGAATATTAAAATATATCTGATTTTAAAGAATGATTCAGAGTATAGGTAGAGTTGAAGTTCTCATTGTTTGACATTTGTAATTTTACCGAATGAAGAGCGATGAAAACAATGTTTACATTACCGACTCTCTCTACTGGTCCAAAGTCCAAGAGCTGGTTTAGGCCTATTGGTAAAATGTTTTGATGCGGGATAAAACCATCCTCACTCACTCACAATGCAGGACTGGATACTGGAAAATGGCCATAGCCAGGAATAATGTGGAGAAAAAAAAGTTCAAATTTATGACGAATTTGTTGATACTGTTCAAGAACCCTATCTTTAGTTTTGGGTATTCTACAATTTAGGGGTCGGATGGTGAGTTTCACTTGCCTCTTCCTGTACCTGCTTCGATTCTGCACATTGGAATGTAGGTCACCCAACTGCTGATATAGCTGGGATGTTGATAAAAACAATATAAAATCTCACTCACATTTTCGGTATTCTAGTGTAGAGTATTATTTTTTACAAGTGATCTCAACCTAGTACAAGTTTCTGCATTTTGATTAGCTACATCTCATGGAAAAGAAAAACAAGGTCGATGATGGTAAACAGTCAAGATGAAACATTCATAAACACAACAAACCCTACTGTAGTATATGGAAGCCACTGGTTGTAATGGAAATGTTATTGATAAACTTAAGGTAACTGAAAAAACGAGATGGCGGGCAGCAACGCCTAGTCTTGTATTTCTTTTATGTCGTAGGTGGCACAAGTCACCCAGTTGTCTAAGGGACCGCAATTAACTGTGTTGCGTCCCTTAGGCATGCCAGAAACCTATGATCGTGGTTCGAATCCCGGTTCACCATAGATACCCAGGCTTGTGGGTTTCACCAAAGTGGTAAACATCGGCACAGGGCCCACTTACACAAAGCCATCTTAGAGTTAAGGTTATGGGAGTTACGATCATTTTAGCGCTAAGATCGCTTTGTGCAAGTTGGCCTGAGACCTGCATCACTTTCTTCCCACCATATGTTGACATGTCATATAAGTTGAATACTGTTCAAGCCTGACCCACTCATTATTCATGTGACCCGTGAAGATCCACAGTAGACTAGGTCATCAGCTAAACCATGCTTGTCGTAAAAGGCAACTATGCTTGTCGTAAGAGGCAATTAGCGGGATCGGGTGGTCAGGCTCGCTGACTTGGTTGATACATGTCATCGTATTGCGTGAATTGATGCTCATGATGTCAATCACTGGATTGTCTGGTCCCGACTCAATTATTTACAGACGGCCATCATATAGCTGGAATATTGCTGATTGCGGCGTTAAACAAGAAACAAACAAACATTATTCATGTCATAAAACTTGAGGGATTAAAAGACCAGTCTGTGCATTTAATATTGAAGTGAAGTACATTGTTTTACCCAACAACATAATAATATATATTTTCATTTATTATTTCAGGTTGTATTTCTGATCCACGTATGGGAAGTAGGTAGAATCAACTCTGTATAGGCCTGTTATGGAAGATGTCTAACTTACTTCTTGCAATGTCAAGATCTGTGCTTCGATCCCACACTGTCATCCCATACCAGTCGGTCGCCATGTTTTCCTCCTCAGCACGTAAACAAGGGCAGGCAACTCCTACAAGGACCAAAGCTGTCATCTTTGACATGGGCGGAGTGGTCATCCCATCACCAATTGAAGCCCTGAAAGGTTATTGTCCAATATTTATGTTTCACTGCTGGTATTTGATATGACAACAAAAATGATAGAAGCTTTACATTTTTTATATTGATCCGCGACAGTTAACACTAACTGTCAGTCAAACAATAGGAGTGAACAACCAGAAAGACGGACACGACATGAGACCCACTGTTATCGGGAAAACGGTGGATAGATAATATTAACAAATTCTTTTTATGATAATTTTTCCATTATGTAGACAATGAAAATGAAAAAGAAATACCGGTAGGTAAGTGGATATTATGAAATCTTTAGTGCTACCTCTGGATGTTATGAATGTGTCAGCTTACAATTTTATTAAAAGCAAACTAAGTTATGTTGTAAGATCATTACCATATTGGACGTAATAGGGTGCTCTCAAAATTAGAAATAGGGGTCTCTTATTGGAATATTATTTTGGTGAGAAAAAAACAGAGTTGAAAGTTCATAAATTTCATGGTTTATGCTGACGGCCTGAATTGTTTATATACAACATATGTATTTGACACATGAGTGCGTCATATGACACATGAGTACATATTATACACGAATAAATAAGTCTTGTGAACATTGATCAATCGGAAGGGCTGCTAATTGAGATTGTTCACTGGCCAATATATTAGCAAATATCACCGTGGGCGCTTATTAGAGTGGGGCGCTTATTACGTCGATTACGGTATTTAAATAATATTTATAAACAGTAGGATTAGACCTTTCAAATGGTGTATAACATGTAGTAAAAGATGTTTTACAAGCTGATATTTGCCTTGATAAATGTAGGCTTCATCTATCACCCCAGAGTCTCTGGGAACTCGGTGGTATGGCAGTGAAAGATTCTAATTGACTGGTGTTGAAAGAGTTAACATCCATTGTTTGCCAAAAAAGTGTTCGGTATCAGATCAACATTCAGAAAAAATAAAAAAATAACAATTAAAAGAATAAACTGCGTTGACAGATCAGGGGGCACGGGTGGCCCAGTATTCTAGGGCACTGTATTTCGCTGTTGAGAGTTGCGTCCCTTAGGCACGCCAGAAACCTATCATCGTGGGTTCGTATCCCGGTTTGCCCCGATTATGTTTCTAGGTTTGTCAGCACCATGCCTGTGCTTGTGGGTTTCACCCAAGTGGTAAACATCTGAGACCTGCATCCCTTTGAACATTTATTTAGAATTATTGAAATACACAATGATCTTGATGATTTGCGAAATATGTTTGACATGGTACCTCATGCTGACTTTGTTCGAAATCTGCCTCCTTCCCCCAGCAATGAATGGGTACCCAGTAGGATGAGGTAGTAATGTGACTGTTAACTTTCTTCCACCTCACAGGCAGTTTGGGTTGTATACTCCCCAGGGAGAAGAGAATAAAAATCAACTGCACACTGATCCCTTGACCTGGGAAATAATGCAGTGCTTTGGGGAGATGATTTGGCACAAATGATGAATATAACTATGTCCTATGTTCTTAAATGTAACATGTCATGTCATTAGAAGTCTACAGATTGATAAAACGTATATATATATGCATGATTAACTCCCCTCTGTTGTTCCAGCATGGTTAACTCTGGTGTGTACATGCTAGGTCCTTTCTGTGAAGGATTATGTCCCCTGTGTAGTGGTCTGTAAGGCTTAAAAAAAAAATAGTCTTGGTTCTCAGGCACCGCATGCATCATCATAAAGTTCGCCGCACATTTCGTTTTTATTTCCATTTTGAAAAATAACACGAAAGAAATCCTTTAATATGCCAATGGTAGTCAAATTGTCTATTCCAGTATTTTACTCATCAAGGAAAACATTTATGTGGGGAGGCCCTTTCCCAGGTTGATTGTACACATTGTTTATTTGGTTACACAAGTTTAGAACGTTGACTACTTCCAGAATTTGAAGTGCGGCACAACCTACCGAGGGGGACTGTCATCAGTCTGATCGTCAATGGTGGAGAGAAGGGAGCCTGGCAACAACTGGAGAGTGGGAACATCACCCTCCAAGAGATGACGGCCGCCTTTAGTGAAGAGTGCTCACAGAAGGTCAGTTCTCCATGGCAACGGGAACTGTGTGCCAGCACTGTGTAGCTTCAAGGGTCTGCGGGGGCACGGGGGTCCCAGTCGTCTAAGGCGCCGCGATTTGCTGTGCAGACTTGCTTCCCTTGGGCACGCCAGAAACCTATGATTGTGGGTTCGAAACCCAGTTCGCCCCGATTATGTTTCTAGGTTTGTTAGCACCATACCCGTGCTCGTAGGTTTCACCGAAGTGGTAAACGTCTGAGATACACATCATTTCGGGGCTTTCTTCCCACATTAAGTTGACACGCTGTGATATAACTGGAATACTGATAAAAACAGCGTTAAACCCAACTCACTCACTCACTCTCAAGGGTCAGCTGATCATCAGTATGGATCAATGAGGGCCCTGATGAGGTATGCTGTTTCGTGTACAACACCTACAAACTTTAATCGTAATGTGGTATATATCTAACGACACAAGTTAGTGTTTGGTATGTGCATGGTACAAACTGCAATAAAAAACAAAAGCAAATCTAGCTTTCCCAATGTTTTCCTAGAGACAGACTGACAATCTCCTTTCACACTGCTGATATGCCAAACCACAAAAATATCAATCACAGCTGTGGAAGTTAGACTTGGGTCTTCATAACAGTGATTTCTCTAGACCTGTTCAGGTGCTGATATTCGGCCCTAAGTCTGCAGCAAATGCCTGCCAAAGGCACTTCGTTTGGAATTCCAGATAATTTTCATATGTTCTGATTAAGTCCATTTTATATGGACACCACAGTTGCCTTTTTCTTTCAACAATGTATTCCAACACTGAGTGCATGCAAGATAGTAGGCGTTATATTACCATATGCCTGTCTACCAGTATACCAGTATATTACCATATGCCTGTCTACAATGCATGTGACGACCCTTGTGTATCAATATTTTCCAATAATAAGAATTAATATATAATATAAATTATATCTACTATATTGAGGCATTTGGATGGACTGGGTTCATTTCTAACAGCATACACTTCGCACACTGCTAACATTATAATTCCATATTGATGACCTAATTGGAAGTCTCGTTTATCCATACTGTCATAACAGATATCGAAATGTGAAGTCTGGATTATTGAGTGAAGCAGTATCCAGTTTTGAGTTGCCAATTGTTCGACATTTTCTTTTGAAGGATTAAACCATGCCATCAGTCATGAAGTGTTATAGTTCACCAGTTGAAGAGTACAGCTATAAGGCTAAAAAAAATAATAATCTTGGTTCTCAGGTGCTGCCCGCAACATCAGAAAGTCCCATGTTGTTTCATACTATATATGACAAGAATCAATTCAGTATTTCTGAGCACACCAACATGAGCGAGTGAGTTAGTTAACAAAAGTTATCGTTGCAATTGCATTATTTCAGCCATAAAGAAATGCAAACAATTTTGTATATATACTAGCGCATCATAAATACAAAGTTATATTTAGAAGCAAATATGTTAAATGTGTTTAGCATACACAATCACACCAACATGAGACTTATCTGTGACCAGGTGGGCAGGAAGGTCGATGCCTCATCCCTGGTTGAGAAGCTGGGGATGAATGTGACAGCGTACCCCCAGATAGTGGACGCCATCAGGTGTATCCGGGCTGAGGGCATCAAGACGGCCCTACTCACCAACAACTGGTTCATCAACAGAGCAGAGAGTCTTGTGCCTGTCGATAGGTCTTTGTTTGATGTGGTAAGTCTTTGTTTGATGTGGTGAGTCTGATGTGGTGAGACTGTATGATATAGGGTGAGTCTCTGTTTTATAGGGTCAGTCTCTGATGTGAATTTTTGTTTGATTGGGTGAGTCTGTTTGATGTGGTGAGTCTGTTTGATGTGGTGAGTATATATTTGATGGACTGAGTCTCTGTTTGATAGGGTGAGTCTTTGTTTGATGTGGGTGAGTCTTTTTAATGTGGTGAGTCTGATGTGGTGAGACTGTATGATATAGGGTGAGTCTCTGTTTGATAGGGTGAGTCTGTTGGATGTGGTGAGTCTGTTGGATGTGGTGAGTCTCTGATGTTTGAGTCTAAGTTTGATGGGGTGAGTCTTCATGGTGACTTCTACAATTCCAGATAGTTGAATCATGTGTTGAGGGAGTAAGGAAGCCAAACCCTCGCATCTACCACACCTGCCTGGAAAGACTGAAGGTAGCACCAGCACAGGCCATGTTCCTCGATGACATCGGCAGCAACCTCAAGGCTGCCAAAGAACTGGGCATCCGCACGATCAAGGTAGAATAGGGAACTGACCATTTTGGAGGGAGGGGAGAGAGATTTGGTGTCGAGATTAGATATATTTTTTCCACTCCAGGTACAAGCCTAGATATTGTTTTTGTTTGCAACTACATTTCCAAGATTAACACCTTGCAACAATGTAGTTTTTGTGGCAGGGAATACATTTTCTTTTTTTCAACAGTCTGAAGCATAAATTTCTTTTTAAGACTTTTTAAGAACAATTTATTTTTTTCAATAAAATTGCGATACTTAAGCTTTAACAATGTCTTGTGTGTCTGTTCATAAATATCATACAGTGATCAAGGTTTGTCATGGTTATAGGTAGAAGATCCTGACCAAGCGGTTCTTGCACTGGAATCTGAGCTTGGTCTACGCCTTCAGGGATATGTGGCAGGAACTGTATCTGTGCCGTCTCATCTAGCTCTGCCTGTAGACCATCTGGTGTCCTACCTACAGTCTCACCTCAATCTGACATCTCAAGGTAAGCACATCTCATCTAGCTCTGCCTGTAGACCGTCTGCTGTCCTACCTCCAGATGCTAAGCATCTAAGACCTGCATCACTTGGGACTTTCACCTAAATCAAACTGCCACATTGTTTCAGGACCCCCAATACTGAGGTGCTTCAAGCATGGCCAGTCCAACCCAACCTACTTTCTCAACTATGGAGGCAGGAATATGGTCTTGAGGAAGAAGCCAGTGAGTTACAAGGACTATTTCCTAATTGTCACCATGACATATTCAGCTTATCCGTTTGAGAATAGGTCTTCAACAACACAATCTTGTCGTAAGAGGCAACTAATGGGATCGGGTGGCCAGGCTCACTGACATGGTTGATGCATGTCATCGTGTCCCAAATACATTGATGGATGTACATGATCTCATTCACTACGTTGTTGGGTCCACACTCTGTTATTTACAGACCGTCGTCATTTAGATGAAATATTGCGGCATTAAACAACAAACAAATACTGTCATGTGTGAAATCATGTTTTTCCTCCAGCCCGGCAAGCTGCTGCCATCCGCCCATGCGGTGGACCGAGAGTATCGCGTGATGAAGGCTGTCGGGGAGAACGGCGTCCCTGTCCCAGAGATGCTGGCTTTCTGTGACGATGAAAGGTGATTCGTAAACAACTTCCTGTTGTGGTTCTCTCCAACAATAAGCTAAACTACCACTCACTATTTCTCCCCTGCCTTGTCCGTCACTTTACCCAGAGATATTTACATCAGTCAAACTGTGACAAGTGTTCAGGTGCTGCAACTCAACTCAACTCAACTCAACTCAACTTCACCTCACCGCACCTCACCTCACTCCGGAGTATGCATCCCAGCAGTACATAGTGGGACCACAGAAAACATATACACAACTGACAAATTCCAGTTTCACTTACCTCTTCTTTCTTTAGGTTACATAAATTGGTCAATTAATTTCCTTTGTAAATGTTATTTCTGCCTGATATTTGCTGAATGGTTCCACTGACTTGTTTACTGTGTTATTGACTTATTTTAAGGTGAGGTTAGGTGAAATTGGGATAACATCGCGTCCAAGATTATTACACTTATATAGCGACGTGTATGTACGTGTGTGTGTTTGTGTGGCTGCTTGTACTAGTCTGGACTGATGCCGATATATAGTGCTAGCTAACTGAGATACCATGCTGCAATTTAACATGAATACCCCACTCAGATGCAGGATACTGACTCTGAGCTGACCAGTCCTTGTTTTAGCCCCTTAATGGCGAGCGCCAAACAGGGTAAAGACAAGTACCATCTTTTAACGTCTTTTGGTATGACGCGTCTGGGGATTGAACCGTGGCGGATGCTCTACCACTAAGCCATGGAGGCCGTCGACTTATTTTTTTAGAATTACATTATTTATGTTGGGATAGAAATTAAAAATGACAAAGTTTGTTTGGTGTCTATTTCAGTGTCATCGGGACCCAATTCTACCTCATGGACTACGTACCAGGGAGAATATTTGAGGACTTCTACCTAACTGGGATGGATCCAGCAGAAAGGAAAAACATTTATTCCGCTATGACTGATGTTCTCTGCAAAATCCACTCCGTGGATATAAACAAAGCTGGGTTGGAAACGTATGGCAAACAAGGTAATCTGTGGTCTAGTGGTAGAGCGTCCACCCAGAGAGCGGAATGTCCGGGGATCGATCCCAGGTCGTGTGATACCAAAAGACGTTGAGATATAGTACTTGTTGTTACCCTGCCTGGCGCTCGGCATTAACGGGCTAAAACAAGGACTGGTCGGCTCGTGGGTCAGTGTACTGTTTCTGAGTGCAGTATTCATGTTAAACTGCAGCATGGTATTTCAGTTGGCTAGCACTATAAATCGGCATCAGTCCGGACTAGTACAAGCAGCCACACACACATGTGCATGCACTTCGCTGTATAAGTGCAATAATCTTGGACGCGATATTTAACCCCAATTCACCTCACCTTCACCAGCAGTGCATAAAGTGTCAACTGATCCCACCAAGTCAGGATTCTACACAGCCTTGTGAAAATAGGAGTCATGATTACTCACACATATCTGGAGGTGGGGGGTCATTTTCTATATTTGGGGGTCACAATTTTCACAGCCATGCTTGTGATAAAATTGAAATATTGTGAAAAGCCGTGTTGAACCTGACTCACTCACTCACTAGTGTCTAGTGTTTGCTTAGCTGTGCCTGAATTCCACTCATAAAGATCCGGATTAGAAAAGGTCTTCAGCAACCCATGCTTGCCGTAACAGGCGACTATGCTGGCCGTAAGTGATGACTAATGGGATCAGGTGGTCAGGCTCTCTGACTTGTTTGTTGCATGTCATCGTATCCCAATGGCAAAGGCCTGCCGTGATATTCCTGGAATATTGCTAAAAGCGGCGTAAAACCAAACTCACTCACTCCCAATGGCAAAGGTCAATGCTCATGATAGCAATAACTTGATTGTCTGGCCAGACTCGATTATTTACAGAGCGCCATCATACAGCTGGAATATTGCTGAGTGCGGCGTTCAACAACAAACAAACAAAGATTTTATAACATCCTAGACTCACCCCAGAATAACGAAAGGTCTGCCTCTTAGGACTGTATCATATTTTGCTAATATTGAAACATTTGCTCATGCTAACTCTTACCCCCAATACATGTAACAGTTTTTTAGTTTTGACCACCCCACCCCCTCCCTACATAATCTTCAAATTAATAAACAAAATTTTTGAAAACTAGAACTCTTCATGCCCATCCCTCTTATAGTTGTCATAAATTTTGGTGACTAACTACCCCACCACCCCACCACCCCTCTTTTGTTGTCTCTTTCATTACCCCCACCTCCCCCTAAATCTCACACACGCCCTATGATAAATGCCCAGTCCCTAACGGAAATACTGTTCAAAGCACCCATTAGACTCTCTCACTCACTCATTCCACACTTACATCTGATGTCAAGATCTGCTTTCAAGGTAACTATATGGAACGGAACTTCAAGAGATGGGCGAAACAGTATGAGGCAAGCAAGACCAGGGAGATACCATCAATGACAAAACTGATGGACTGGATTCCAAAGAACTTGCCCGGGGATGAGAGAGTGACTGTTGTACACGGGGACTTCCGGTAAGGAATGGGCACACGTATACCAGAGGCGTTCCCTTAGTACCCGGAGAACTTGCCCCGGGATGAGAGAGTGACTGTTGTACACGGGGACTTCCGGTAAGGAATGGGCACACGTACACCAGAGGCGTTCCCTTAGTACCCGGAGAACTTGCCCCGGGATGAGAGAGTGACTGTTGTACACGGGGACTTCCGGTAAGGAATGGGCACACGTACACCAGAGGCGTTCCCTTAGTACCCGGAGAACTTGCCCCGGGATGAGAGAGTGACTGTTGTACACGGGGACTTCCGGTAAGGAATGGGCACACGTACAACAGAGGCGTTCCCTTAGTACCCGGAGAACTTGCCCCGGGATGAGAGAGTGACTGTTGTACACGAGGAATTCCGGTAAGGAATGGGCACACGTACAACAGAGGCGTTCCCTTAGTACCCGGAGAACTTGCCCCGGGATGAGAGAGTGACTGTTGTACACGGGGACTTCCGGTAAGGAATGGGCACACGTACACCAGAGGCGTTCCCTTAGTACCCGGAGAACTTGCCCCGGGATGAGAGAGTGACTGTTGTACACGAGGAATTCCGGTAAGGAGAACGAAAGGTCTGGGGTTCGATCCCTCACCGACTCATACCAAACGACGTTAAAAGATGGTACTTGTTGTTACCCAGTCTGGTGCTCAGCATAAGGAGCTCTAACAAGGACTGGTCGACTCAGTGTCAGTATACTGTGTCTGAGAGGGGTATTCATGTTAAACTGCAGCATTGTATCTCAGTGGGCTAGCACTATTCATCTGGTATTAGTCCCGACTGGTGCATGCACGCTAGCTAGCTATATACATGAATTACATTAAGTAATACGTTACCACTGTTATACCGAGGCTGTTGTCTCCCACAACTGCTGCTATAGCGAAATCTACCACAGAGATCTCAATTACCTCATGCAGCACGTGCGTAGCCACCTAGCTGCCATGTGACACCCTTCACTCTTGTCTCCTTCGTCTGCTTAGCAAGACATGTTTTCTCCTGCTGAAGCGTTCCTTGAAGATTTGGTGATATTTATTATAGTTTATTCTCTAATAAACTGTGCTTTTATGGGTTGTTGCGGTAGCTACGCTTGGTTATAATTTTCCCGCCAAACGGAAAATTTTCCCGCCCTTTTTTCTATATACTTGCGGGGTTCGCGTATGCACGTTGTGTTTTACGTTTCCCCTGTTCTTGTATGTTTTGGGGGTTAACATAACTTATTTCTTTAATAAAAGTTATATGTGTATGTTATATGTTCACATTGCTCGTTTATTTTCTTGTGAAAATGTTCGTTTGTGAATCATTGTGGTGCGTGCGTTGTAACCATGTTTTGTTCTTTGTTTATAGCAAACAATCAATGTCTGACATGGATATGTCCCCAGTATCCACCCCCTCTACCCCTGCTCCTCGGAGTTGTGGGGTGTGCAGAAAGTTTTTGTCTTCCCGGGATCCCCACGATCGTTGCCCGCGGTGCAGGGTTCCTTGCGGGGACACCCGGTGCATCCTGTGCGAAGGTCTGGGGCCTGCGGAGTTTGAGCGGTACCGGCTGTACGTACAGTCCGTCTCCACCCCTGTGGTGGCCGGTTCGCCCGGTCGGGGTCCCCGTGCGGGTACCACCTCCTCGGCTGCGGCGGATCCCCTTGCGGCCCTCGGGCTGTCTGGGGTTTCCGTCGCCGCATTGTTGTCGAAACTTGTGGACTCCAAGCTGGCGGCCTTATCTCAAGATAGGCCGCTGGCTGTTCCGTCCCCGGCCTCTTCGGTGGCCGCGGGGTCGGACGCGGGGTCCACCGGTAAAGCGGCGGATCTCTTGGCGGCCCGTGTGCTGTCCGGGGATTCCGTCGCTGCATTACTTGCATAACTTGTGGACTCCAAGCTGGCGGCCTTATCTCAGGATAGGCCGCTGGCTGTTCCGTCCCCGGCCACTTCGGTGGCCGCGGGGTCCACCGGTACGGCGGCGGCTCCCGTGGTCACCGGTCCTTCCCCGGTATGGGCAATCAGCTGCCCTTTCGCGGGAAGACGGGGAACTGGGGGAAGCCCAAGTCGTCGACGGACGGCAAGGGCCCCTCCAGGTGACTCTCATTGGAGGGGTTCGTATGCCGACAGCGCCAACTTCGGTTGGCCCTTAGGCGAACCCGAGTCACTTGGCCCTGGACAGTTGCGCCTGCCGCAACCTGTCAGGGCCCCCTCTCCTTCCCCAGTGGGAGCCAGACTCCAGACTTACTGGGAGAATTGGGTGGTCAACACGATTCGGTACGGCTATCGGCTTGATCTCAAAGCGAATCCGCCGCTCACCGTTGCCCCGTTGGCAGGTTTCGATTCGGAAACCAATCTTCCCATCCTCGCCGATGCCATCGGCAGGTTGGTGGAGAAGGGGCAGTACGGGAGTTAGCTCTACCAGAAATAACACCGGGGTTTTACTCCAGGATATTTCTCGTTCCCAAGTAGGACAGTGCCGAACTCAGAATGATTCACACGTCCGCTCAGAGCTGTATGAACCCTTGCATAGTGCTTGGTTCCGGCATGTGACTTGGAAAACAGCATTTCTCCTCTCCTTTGCCACGGCGGCACGTGTATCCGAAATTCATGCACTCGATGTCGCCAAGGTACGATTCGATAGGGGTGACGAAGGAGCGGTCCGCCTGGGCCTGCTCATGGGCTTCATCGCCAAGAATCAGAGAGTCGGGCAAACGGAGAGAGAATTCACTGTAAGATCACTCAAAGAAATCTTACATCCTGCTGATACTGAGGACAGAGCGCTGTGTCCGGTTAGGGCCCTTAAGTATTATCTTAAGGCTTCAAATGAACGTAGACAAGGGCGTGACCGTCTGTTCATATCGTGCAACCCTAATCGCACGGTTGACATAACTCGCAACTCGATTGCGTTGTGGCTTCGTTCTGTCATCAATCTGGCGTACCGGTCTCGGGGGTTACCGGTAGCGGGGTCAAACCCGCACGAGATCAGGGCGCTAGCGGCAACATTTGCCCTACACTCGAATATCTCTGTTCGCAGAATATTACGAGGTTGTTACTGGCGTTCTGACTCGGTTTTTGCCAATCATGACCTCAAACAGGTCGCTGATGCCGTCGTGGAGAGTGTGCACCGTCTTGGTGTGCCCAGCGCAATTCCGAACTCCTCAGGCGTCTGACCTTGCACGGTGGTCAATCTGGGTCGACTCCAATGTTCCCACTGCCGTGGGTACAGGAGTTGGGGTCCGCTCCCTGGCTGTTCACCCGGTTAACCACCCCCATAGTGGGGTTCCTCCACAGGAGGGGTGTCCGGTACTTCGCGTACCTGGACGACTCGCTAGTAGCAAATCGAATGACGGACACCCTGTCACGCCATCTCGATTTCGCACGTCGGCTCTTGGAGCAATTTGGGTGGATTATCAATCTCCCCAAGAGCGAGTTAACCCCTTCTCAGAACTTGCTGTTCATCGGAGGTCGGTTCAACACGGTGTCCCATCGCCTCTTTGTCCCCCCAGACCGGTGGCACAAAATTCAGGCGATGATTGCCAAAGTCTTAGCGGTGCAACAGACTGTTCACTTTTGGGAACAGCTGTTAGGGCTACTTGTATCAGCCCAGGACTGCATCGCACGGGGTCGTCTCCAACTCCGCCCGCTGCAACGGTTTTTAATCCAGTTGTTAGCAACGGAGGTGAACAGTGCGACCGTCGCCCTCCCGGATCGGCTCCGACCGCATCTGGAGTGGTGGACGGTCCCTTACATTGTCTTATCAGGAGTCTCTATGCGGCCCTACCGGGCCACGTTGACCCTGTATACAGACGCCTCTCTGGTGGGCTGGGGCGCCCATCTAAAGGGGGAGGTGAGCTCGGGGCTGTGGTGCGTAGACGAACTAGGTCTTCACATCACTTGTCTCGAGTTCAAGGCAGTGATCAACGCAGTCAATCACTGGAAGCATCGTCTCGTCGACGCCCGGCTCATGCTGGCGACCGACAACACGACGGTAGTGTCCTATGTGAACAAACTGGGGGGAACCCACAGTCACTCGCTACTCGATCTCACGTTCGAGTTTTACGCTCTGGTGGACAGTGTCCCGTGCCAGATACGCGCCCGTCACATCCCAGGTGTGCGGAACGTACTGGCCGATGCTCTATCGAGGCCTCAGGATCCGAGCCCCACAGAGTGGATGCTGAACCCAGTAGTGTTTCAGTGGCTGTGCGAACGTTTGGGTCGTCCGATGGTCGACCTGTTCGCAACGCGGTTCAACAATCAACTCCCGTTGTTTGTATCACCAGTCCCGGACCCGAGGGCCATCGATCACGATGCTCTCGCGTTAGACTGGACGGGCTTGGTCGCTTATGCTTACCCGCCGACAGCGTTGATACCACACATTCTAAGCCGGCTCCGAGGAGTTCGCTGTCGAATGTTACTGATCGCGCCCATGTGGCCGAACAGATCGTGGTACCCCGACTTGCTGACCCAGGTCACGCAGTCGCCACTTCCACTGCCTGTGAGACCGGATCTCTTGATCCACCCTCACACCCGTCAGCTTCATCCAAACGCAGGGCAGTTCAATCTGCACGCGTGGATGTTGTCACCGAGCGTCTGAGGAGTTAAGTTTTTTCTCGCCGGGCGTCTCGGGCATACGTTAGTATGCATCGTGATTCTACCCAGAAGGTGTATAATGCACGTTGGGTTATTTTCACGAAGTGGTGTTGTAAACATCACATTCATTCGCCAGATAAGGTATCTGTGCAGGATATTGCTCGTTTCATGTCTCACTTGCGAGAGACCCGGAAACTCTCCGGGGGTTCCATTGCCAACTATGTCTCGTCCGTTGCTACGGTACGGGACGTTGCTATGGGTACCAGTCTCTCCAAAGAGCCGGTGATACGGGGTATTATCAAGGGTTTCAAACAGCACGATCTTAAGAAGGGCCGCCTTCGGGCACCGGCCTGGGATCTTTCCCTAGTGTTGCAATCACTTACGGAAGCTCCATATGAACCCTTGCATAGTGCTTGGTTCCGGCATGTGACTTGGAAAACAGCATTTCTCCTCTCCTTTGCCACGGCGGCACGTGTATCCGAAATTCATGCACTCGATGTCGCCAAGGTACGATTCGATAGGGGTGACGAAGGAGCGGTCCGCCTGGGCCTGCTCATGGGCTTCGTCGCTTAGAATCAGAGAGTCGGGCAAACGGAGAGAGAATTCACTGTAAGATCACTCAAAGAAATCTTACATCCTGCTGATACTGAGGACAGAGCGCTGTGTCCGGTTAGGGCCCTTAAGTATTATCTTAAGGCTTCGAATGAACGTAGACAAGGGCGTGACCGTCTGTTCATATCGTGTAACCCTAATCGCACGGTTGACATAACTCGCAACTCGATTGCGTTGTGGCTTCGTTCTGTCATCAATCTGGCGTACCGGTCTCGGGGGTTACCGGTAGCGGGGTCAAACCCGCACGAGATCAGGGCGCTAGCGGCAACATTTGCCCTACACTCGAATATCTCTGTTCGCAGAATATTACGAGGTTGTTACTGGCGTTCTGACTCGGTTTTTGCCAATCATTACCTCAAACAGGTCGCTGATGCCGTCGTGGAGAGTGTGCACCGTCTTGGCCCGCGGATCGCGGCGCAAGCGGGCACCTAAGGGGTGTGCCCAGCGCAATTCCGAACTCCTCAGGCGTCTGACCTTGCACGGTGGTCAATCTGGGTCGACTCCAATGTTCCCACTGCCGTGGGTACAGGAGTTGGGGTCCCGCAAACCAGCGCACTCACACCACAGGTGAGGGCGGCTTTTTGTGTGCTTTGTCCTTATTTGTATTTTGACAATTATGTCTTTAATTGTCTGTCGTGTATCCCAACCTTGTGATGCATGCTTACAAATACTGGAATTAGGTCACGCGCCTAATGCATACTTTAAGTAGGCTTGCTCTGGGATATACGGTCTGAATGAAATTAATTTCCCTCTTTTCGACTGTTTAACCTGATCTAAGATTAAGCTCACGAGGATACAGTGTTCTCACCCCTTGGTGATGAAATACCTATCCAGTGGGCCGTTTGGAGTCACCAATCGTTTTGGCAATGACGATTGAGCCTTACGGTATGCGCTTGACAGTGCTTTGGTATTCCTATAGGGTTACGCCTAGCTAGGTGCATGCGCATCGAGTGCTTCCGCCTTGGTGTTTACTTCCGCTGGTCGGAAGGAACGCTAGCAGTCAGGATTCGGGTTGTAGGTGCTCCCCACCGCCTACTGTGGTAGTCAGCCTCGGTATAACAGTGGTAACGTATTACTTAATGTAATTTGTAGAATTTTCCTATTCGGAATATTCTATAAGTAATACGTTACCACTGGGCTGCTGCCCGCCCGTCCGTCCCCCGAGCACTTGCTCTCGCAGGAGACAAGAGTGAAGGGTCTCACATGGCAGCTAGGTGGCTACGCACGTGCTGCATGAGGTAATTGAGATCTCTGTGGTAGATTTCGCTATAGCAGCAGTTGTGGGAGACAACAGCCTCGGTATAACAGTGGTAACGTATTACTTATAGAATATTCCGAATAGGAAAATTCTACAATATATGTTATGGACATATATACACCCCATTTCTGAGTGCCATGGATTCTACACCCAAAAGGGTCTACTGTCAAAGAATATTTGTTCTACATGGCATATATTTTTTTCAAAATCTAGGCGGTAAAGAGATGAAACCGAATCATTTGATTAAAATGTCATCTGATTGGGTGGTCAAAGTTCACTCAGGGTTTTCGACCTCACCTGATGAAGGAGTAACCTTACTCTCCGAAACATTGTGTTACTCATTATGAAGAAGTTGACATCCAAAATTCTCCCTCACAATGTGCTGTTTCTATGACTGTTTCATTTTCACCTTACAGGTTGGACAACTTGATATTCAGTCCATACAAGTCTGATGTGCTGGGGGTTCTAGATTGGGAGTTATCTACCCTTGGTGACCCCTTGTCTGACCTTGCTCAGAGCTGTATTATATACTATCTGCCTAAAGACTTTCCATTATTTGCAGGTTGGTATTGTTGCTACAGACTCAAGTCACATTTTCTATATTGCAACAAGCTTTATGATGTACGAAAAAAATTCCAACAAATTGAAAAGTCAATATTCAGCAGTTCTTGAAGTACATTCAAAAGATATGAATGTTACAAGGGGACCATCCTTGCTTATCAAGTGTATTTTATGTCACTTTATGGTGATATCTACCCTATATCCATTCTCTACCATGGCTTCATTTTGAGCCCATTTTGGCAATTTGGTCTAAGGCAAAAAATAGCCGTTCTATCCAATTACACTTTTGAGACAGGGAATTTCTGTGTTACATTAGAGACATTATCAATGGAGGTGAGACGTCACTTCAGAAATGAAACTATGGTGGCAAATAGGTCAATGCCTTTATCAACCTAGAATGGGGATTATACACTGACCAAAAAAGGATATAAGGCTAAAAACAATAATAGTCATGGTTCTCAAGCACCACCCACATCATCATGAAGTCTGCCGCACGTTTTGTTTTTATTTCCATTTTTTTTAAAAATATAAAAATCCTATTACTTAAACACAATGCACACAAACAAATAAAAATGGAAACAAAAACAAAATGTGCAGTGATCTTCATGATGATGTGGGCTGTGCCTGAGAACCAAGACTATTATTATTATTATTTTTAGCTTAAGGTACTAGAAATACATCCTAAAAATTATCAGGATTATTATGCCATATACATTGTTAAATAACACTAACTAAGGAAGATTTTGTTCACATCAGGATTTGTTGGTGAGGATGTGTCGAAGCTTGGTATTCCAACAGTCCAGGAATTTGTTGCCCAGTACTGCGAGAGAATGAACATTCCACCAATCACAAACTTGGATTTCTACATGGCCTTCACCTTCTTTAGGTTTGCTGCAATCTGTCAAGGTGTCTATAAACGAGCCATCTCAGGTATGACCCTGTAGTGTTTCCATGAATTAATTTAGTTTTATTGAAGCCCCAAAGTAAAAGGTTTTGTTTTTCAATATATCTGTTTTAAGTTTACATAGTCAATGTCGACCTGAGTTGTTAGGTGTGGTAAGTTCGGAGTTATCTACTCCCAGTGACCTCTAACATGAGCTTGCTAGAAAAGTATCTTATAAACCACTGATGACGTCATACTACAGTTACAGGCAGGCAATATCTGCAATGCCCGGGATGTCCCAGTGGAATGCCCAGCCCCAGATAAATACATTCCAATTGTAATACCTAGGTTTTACAATTAACTTTTTATGAGCTTGCCTCTTGATGGGAACACAGTTGTGTTTGATGATTGGTTGAAAGTCCCAATTCTTTTTTATCATGTAAATTAAAATTACGTGAATCTAACCTGCAACCTCACATATTGTAATTTTGTAACCCACTGAGCTACCAGGGCAGGTGATGAGAGGTTGTTCAGTTTATTATATCATGACTCCAGCTAGTCCATGCTGCACATGTTTTTTTCTCTCGCATGCTTTGAGCGAGTTCCTTTTATACCATGATAAACTGTTTCACTTTAAGCTATGTAAATGTTTTCTTATTTTTTCTGGTAATTCTTGCATTTAGATGGTTCATAAGTTGGATAAAACACGCCTCCTTGGTTTTGGTTGAAAATGTAAAACTATGATCTCGGAGAAAGCCCTCAGGCCGAATATAGGGAAGTTGAAATCAATATATCAACCCTGACTTCGTGGGTAGGATGTTGTGGAGAAGAGTGTGCATCAGTGACGACAACTATGTCTTGTCAGTGTAGGCTAGCGTGTTCTTCTTCCACTATAGGACAAGGAAGTTCCCCGATTGCTGAGAAAGTTGGCAAGTATGCCGAGACAATGTCCGACATTGGATGGAAGATGGCATCCCAGCAGGGCACGGGATCCCAGGTCCAGTCAGGGCGAAGAGCATATTCCACAAGTACCAGGTCCATGATGACATACATGTCCCGACCCCTGTCCACACAACCACACACAGGCACTGTCGGTAAGTACATGTCAGTAGGCTACAGGCGGAGCTACCCTCTCACACACAATCACACACAAGCACTGTCAGTAAGTACCTGTCAGTAAACTACAGGCTGACCTACCCTCTCCACACAACCACACACAGGCACTGTTGGTAAGTACATGTCAGTAGGCTACAGGCCGAGCTACCCTCTCCACACAACCACACACAGGCACTGTCGGTAAGTACATGTCAGTAGGCTACAGGCGGACCTACCCTCTCCACACACAGGCACTGTCGGTAAGTACATGTCAGTAGGCTACAGGCCGACCTACCCTCTCCACACAATCACACACAAGCACTGTCGGTAAGTACATGTCAGTAGGCTACAGGCCGACCTACCCTCTCCACACAATCACACACAAGCACTGTCGGTGAGTACATGTCAGTAGGCTACAGGCGGACCTACCCTCTCCACACAATCACACACAAGCACTGTCGGTAAGTACATGTCAGTAGGCTACAGGCGCACCTACCCTCTCCACACAATCACACACAAGCACTGTCGGTAAGTACATGTCAGTAGGCTACAGGCCGACCTACCCTCTCCACACAACCACACACAGGCACTGTTGGTAAGTACATGTCAGTAGGCTACAGGCGGACCTACCCTCTCCACACAACCACACACAGGCACTGTCGGTAAGTACATGTCAGTAGGCTACAGGCGGACCTACCCTCTCCACACAATCACACACAGGCACTGTCGGTAAGTACCTGTCAGTAGGCTATGAGACAAGCTACCCTCTCCACACAGCCACACACAGGCACTGTCGGTAAGTACATGTCAGTAGGCTATGAGACAAGCTACCCTCTCCACACAATCACACACAGGCACTGTCGGTAAGTACCTGTCAGTAGGCTATGAGACAAGCTACCCTCTCCACACAATCACACACAGGCACTGTCGGTAAGTACATGTCAGTAGGCTACAGGCGGACCTACCCTCTCCACACAATCACACACAGGCACTGTCGGTAAGTACCTGTCAGTAGGCTATGAGACAAGCTACCCTCTCCACACAATCACACACAGGCACTGTTGGTAAGTACCTGTCAGTAGGCTACCGGCCGAGCTACCCTTTCCACACAACCACACACAGGCACTGTCGGTAAGTACATGTCAGTAGGCTACAGGCCGAACTACCCTCTCACACACAACCACACACAAGCACTGTCGGTAAGTACCTGTCAGTAGGCTACAGGCCGACCTACCCTCTCCACACAACCACACACAGGCCCAGTCGGTAAGTACATGTCAGTAGGCTACAGGCCAACCTACCCTCTCCACACAACCACACACAGGCACTGTCGGTAAGTACATGTCAGTAGGCTACAGGCCAACCTACCCTCTCCACACAACCACACACAAGCACTGTCGGTAAGTACATGTCAGTAGGCTACAGGCCGACCTACCCTCTCCACACAATCACACACAGGCACTGTCGGTAAGTACATGTCAGTAGGCTACAGGCCGAGTTACCCTCTCCACACAATCACACACAAGCACCGTTGGTAAGTACACGTCAGTAGGGTATGAGACGAGCTACCCTCTCCACACAACCACAAACAAGCACTGTCGGTAAGTACATGTCAGTAGGCTATGAGACAAGCTACCCTCTCCACACAATCACACACAGGCACTGTCGGTAAGTACATGTCAGTAGGCTACAGGCGGACCTACCCTCTCACACACAGGCACTGTCGGTAAGTACATGTCAGTAGGCTACAGGCCGAGCTACCCTCTCCACACAACCACACACAGGCACACTACCCTCTCCACACAATCACACACAGACACTGTCGGTAAGTACATGTCAGTAGGCTATGGGACTACCTACCCTCTCCACACAACCACACACAAGCACTGTCGGTAAGTACATGTCAGTAGGCTACAGGCCGACCTACCCTCTCCACACAACCACACACAGGCACTGTCGGTAAGTACATGTCAGTAGGCTACAGGCGGACCTACCCTCTCCACACAGCCACACACAGGCACTGTCGGTAAGTACATGTCAGTAGGCTACAGGCCGAACTACCCTCTCACACACAACCACACACAGGCACTGTCGGTAAGTACATGTCAGTAGGCTACAGGCTGACCTACCCTCTCCACACAATCACACACAGGCACTGTCGGTAAGTACATGTCAGTAGGCTACAGGCCGAGCTACCCTCTCCACACAATCACACACAGGCACTGTCGGTAAGTACATGTCAGTAGGCTACAGGCCGAGCTACCCTCTCCACACAGCCACACACAGGCACTGTCGGTAAGTACATGTCAGTAGGCTACGGGCTGACCTACCCTCTCCACACAACCACACACAGGCACTGTTGGTAAGTACATGTCAGTAGGCTATGGGACTACCTACCCTCTCCACACAGCCACACACAGGCACTGTTGGTAAGTACATGTCATTAGGCTACAGGCCGAGCTACCCTCTCCACACAACCACACACAGGCACTGTTGGTAAGTACATGTCAGTAGGCTACAGGCTGACCTACCCTCTCCACACAACCACACACAGGCACTGTTGGTAAGTACATGTCAGTAGGCTACAGGCGGAGCTACCCTCTCCACACAACCACACACAGGCACTGTTGGTAAGTACATGTCAGTAGGCTACAGGCTGACCTACCCTCTCCACACAACCACACACAGGCACTGTTGGTAAGTACATGTCAGTAGGCTACAGGCCGAGCTACCCTCTCCACACAACCACACACAGGCACTGTTGGTAAGTACATGTCAGTAGGCTACAGGCCGAACTACCCTCTCCACACAGTCACACACAGGCACTGTCGGTACATACATGTCAGTAGGCTATGGGACTACCTACCCTCTCCACACAATCACACACAGGCACTGTCGGTAAGTACATGTCAGTAGGCTATGGGACTACCTACCCTCTCCACACAACCACACACAGGCACTGTCAGTAAGTACATGTCAGTAGGCTACAGGCCAACCTACCCTCTCCACACAGTCACACACAGGCACTGTCGGTAAGTACATGTCAGTAGGCTACGGGCTGACCTACCCTCTCCACACAACCACACACAGGCACTGTCGGTAAGTACCTGTCAGTAGGCTACAGGCCGAGCTACCCTCTCCACACAATCACACACAGGCACTGTCGGTAAGTACCTGTCAGTAGGCTACGGGCCGAGCTACCCTCTCCACACAATCACACACAGGCACTGTCGGTAAGTACATGTCAGTAGGCTACAGGCCAACCTACCCTCTCCACACAACCACACACAGGCACTGTCGGTAAGTACATGTCAGTAGGCTACAGGCCAACCTACCCTCTCCACACAATCACACACAGGCACTGTTGGTAAGTACACGTCAGTAGGGTATGAGACGAGCCAGCCTGTCCACACAACCACACACAGGCACTGTCGGTAAGTACATGTCAGTAGGCTACAGGCCGACCTACCCTGTCCACACAACCACACACAGGCACTGTCGGTAAGTACACGTCAGTAGGGTATGAGACGAGCCAGCCTGTCCACACAACCACACACAGGCACTGTCGGTAAGTACATGTCAGTAGGCTACAGGCCAACCTACCCTCTCCACACAACCACACACAGGCAGTGTCGGTAAGTACATGTCAGTAGGCTACAGGCTGAACTCCCCTCTCCACACAATCACACACAGGCACTGTCGGTAAGTACATGTCAGTAGGCTACAGGCCGAGCCACCCTCTCCACACAACCACACACAGGCACTGTCGGTAAGTACATGTCAGTAGGCTACAGGCCGAGCTACCCTCTCCACACAACAACACACAGGCACTGTCGGTAAGTACATGTCATTAGGCTACAGGCCGAGCTACCCTCTCCACACAACAACACACAGGCACTGTCGGTAAGTACATGTCATTAGGCTACAGGCCGAGCTACCCTCTCCACACAACAACACACAGGCACTGTCGGTAAGTACATGTCAGTAGGCTACAGGCCGAGCTACCCTCTCCACACAACCACACACAGGCACTGTCGGTAAGTACCTGTCAGTAGGCTACAGGCGGACCTACCCTCTCCACACAACAACACACAGGCACTGTCGGTAAGTACATGTCATTAGGCTACAGGCCAACCTACCCTCTCCACACAACCACACACAGGCACTGTCGGTAAGTACATGTCAGTAGGCTACAGGCGGACCTACCCTCTCACACACAGGCACTGTCGGTAAGTACATGTCAGTAGGCTACAGGCGGACCTACCCTCTCACACACAGGCACTGTCGGTAAGTACATGTCAGTAGGCTACAGGCTGAGCTACCCTCTCCACACAACCACACACAGGCACTGTCGGTAAGTACATGTCAGTAGGCTATGAGACCAGCTACCCTCTCCTCACAAAAATTTAAAAAGTTTTCCCAGCTCAGTAGATCAATCATATTTAATTGATCAGAAATAATGTTTTTAAAATTTAATGTCCATAACCAATCCATATTGTGAGATAAGAGTTATTTATTCTCTTCATCTTGTTTGAGTGACTATTGTCACTTTAACACTGTAAAACAAACATGTTTTGATTGGTTGCAATTTGTAGTTTAACCAATCACAAGCTGTGTCTCTTTACAAACTTTGACAACCCATGTCAAACATTGTGAGGACGAAAAATAAGCTGTCACATTTTTAAATAGAATTATGAAACTGACTTGTAACTTTTAAGTTTAGGTTGTAGTGTTATATTTATGATCAATGTAGCGCTAAGAGCCCCTTGTGAAATCAGAACCTGAGCCCCTTGTGTTTATTTTAAGACAACATTAACACTTTGGACTGATAACACCAATGTCTAAAGCTTAAGGGATGGGACCCGAAAAATCTTTATCGTATGGATTGAGCAGACTTTGCACTGAATCAGTAAATGTGTACATTACAAGTAGTAGTGGAACGATACACCGATGCATCGATGGATTGCGATTTTTTACTTCTCGATACAAGTATCGATCACAGTCGCACACTAAATAAAAAGTATTGATTCTTACCTCAAAGGTATTTAGGGCTGGGACAAGTCCAAATTTACCCACCTGGGTTCCCACCACCTTACCCAACCCTCCCCGGGCACCTGCTGTAGATATTTAGAGATAGGTACAAACGGTCCGAGTTGGAAAAGTTTGATTGTTTGATTCGCCCTGGCAAAATGTATTTAGATACACATGTAATACGATCTGGTCATGTATACACTGAAGTTTACTGCATGAAGCTTTATCTTTATTCAAACATATACAAGTCTGAGGGAATGCTTGCATTGTCAGAAAGAAATACGAACATTAGTGACTTGTGGTGTAACCATAGAGTTTTTGTCTTTAAACAATATATCACATGACTAACCACGGGTCCGGGTAGTCCTGTGGGTACCCGGGACCTACTCAGGACCCACCCGACCCGAGTACCTGAGTTACCTGTCCCAGCCCTTAAGGTATTCTTCAATAAATGTTACACCAAACACTAATTACAAGTGAAAATGAGTCTATTGTGCCATACTTGACACTGCAACTGTAAATCGTTAATGTGCCAGGTATTTGGCCATCCCATCTATAAAAAAAGTGGCTTATGCACCACAGATAACAGCACATCCAAGGCTTGTGATACGTATAGGATTGTGAGCAAGGTATCATGATACGTATCTGAGCGCACAGTTGGTGTATCGTCCCAGCCCTAATTGCAAGTGTATCCGCTGTATTGTAGGGGCCATGGCAGTGTCGGTGAAGGGCTTGTCCCAACAGGTTCAGGATCTCCATCAGAGGGTGCGGAAGATGGTCAATGAGGACATCATCCCTCTCGAGGCAGATATAGCAGCCCACAGCATGGGGCCACACAGATGGGAGCTTTTCCAGCCATTGCACGATCTCAAGGTCAGGTCACATGAGGGTCAAGGCTGAGTCAACATGCCCTTTGAATTAAGTTGAAGTTATTCTTGACTGGTGAAACAGTGGGTTGGTCTATCAGATCAGTTCATACCTATAATTTTCCTTTGATAATTTACAGGTTTTCAAAGCAAAGTTTGAAACCTCAAATTGAACATACTGTGAATAGTTTCAGGGTAGAGTGGTCTAGAACCCCCATTGTTCATACCACTAATACCAAGGTTTTACAATTAACATTTTATAAACTTGCCTCTTGATGTGAACACAATTGTGTTTGATGATATATAAAGTGACTATAAAGTCACAAATTTTTTTACCATGAAAATTCAATTACGTAAATCAAACCTGCAACCTCACATATCGTGTTAAGTTTTGTAACCCACTGTTTCACCACTGAGCTATCGGGGCAGATGATGAGAAGTCGTTCAGTTTGTTATGACTCCAGCTAGCCCATGTTGCACATGTTTTTTCTTTTGCATGCTTTGAGCAAATTCCTTTTATACCCCAATACACTCTAAGGTATTCACTTTAAGGTATGTAAATGTTTTCTTATTTTTTCTGGTATTTCTTGCATTTAGATGGTTCATAAGTTGGATAAAACACGCCTCCTCGGTTTTGGTTGAAATGTAAAACTATGATCCCGGGAAAAGCCCTCAGGCTGAATACATAGACAAAATCTTACCACTGTGAAGATTGGGTAGAATTAGTCCCGAGTAGTTTATGCTTGTCATGCTAATGGGGATCGGGGGGCGGTCGGGTAGCCTAGTGGTTAAAGCGTTTGTTCGTCACGCCGAAGACCCGGGTTCGATTCCCGACATGGGTACAATGTGTGAAGCCCATTTCTGGTGTCCCCCGCCGTGATTTTGCTGGAATATTGCTAAAAGCGGCGTAAAACCACACTCACTCACGAACGAACGAACGAACGAGGATCGGAGTCTGACATTTGTGGCTGATTGCATGTCATGGTAACCCACTGGCGGTGTGTCTTGTGAAGACTCTAATGTTTACATGTTGCTGTGACATAGTTGGAATATTGCAGACAGCAGCAGAAAACTAGAAACACCATACGAGGGGCTAAGACAGCCAGTTCCAGGTCTGGGTTAGAATGTGTACCAAGCAGCACTGCTGTCATATGAGGCCAATTTATTGATACGGTGCTCGCGCTTGGTTTAATTGCATGTTATCATACACGGACAGCATGAAACGTGCTCATAATATCACGGGTTTGTCTGGTCCAGATTTGGTTCTTTACAGGCCTCCCTTATACAGCGGGAATATTGTTAAACAGTGTTAAACAACAAAGAAAACATCATATCGGTCACCTGTAATTGGATGTTCTCAGATCTTTGTGTAGCGGGAGGGAGCACTAAGATCTGATTTTAATGAGATTGAATACTGTAAATCTTGATATTAACGCGAGCGTGAATTAAATGCGAAAAATGCGAGTGGTCTCGCATTATTAAACATCGCATTTATATCAACAGTAAGACATTTTGGATAGCAGAAATACCAACTTAGACATACAATGAAAACAAACAACTACGTATTCCACATCACTGTTTATTGAGCAGCACTTGTTACAAGTATATAAACAATGTCATTCAAACACTAAGTACATCCTGTGAATTGTCACTGCTGGGGTCAAGACAAATCCACTGATGCTTGAGAGGACGGGGTGTCGCATTCATATTGAGTCACATTTTTGGCTAGAGGCCAGCGGTCGCATTCTTTTGGAGATGCATTAATTTCACATTTTACAGTGCTTATCTGTTAATTATCATCCTTGGTCCATCAGCATATAAGGGATAAAGGCCGAAAGTTGGGCTGCGTTAGTTTGGGCTGTCTTCCCATATAGTGTATATATAGGCCCACATTGCATCACATTGGGCTATCCTCCCATATGGGCCCACACTTGGGCTGCATCACATTGGCTATGATCCTATATAGGCCCAAACTTGGGCTGCATCAAATTGGGCTATCCTCCTATATAGGCCCAAACTTGGGCTGCATCACATTGGGCTATCCTCCTATATAGACCCAAACCTGGGCTGCAACAAATTGGGCTATCCTCCTATATAGGCCCAAACTTGGGCTGCATCAAATTGGGCTATCCTCCTATATAGGCCCAAACTTGGGCTGCATCACATTGGCTATCATCCAATATAGGCCCAAACTTGGGCTGCATCAAATTGGACCATCCTCCTATATAGGCCCAAACTTGGGCTGCATCAAATTGGGCTATCCTCCTATATAGGCCCAAACTTGGGCTGCATCACATTGGCGGCTATCATCCTATATAGGCCCAAACTTGGGCTGCATCAAATTGGGCTATCCTCCTATATAGGCCCAAACTTGGACTGTAGTACATTGGGCTATCCTCCTATATAGGCCCAAACTTGGACTGTAGTACATTGGGCTATCCTCCTATATAGGCCCAAACTTGGGCTGCATCAAATTGGGCTATCCTCCTATATAGGCCCAAACTTGGACTGTAGTACATTGGGCTATCCTCCTATATAGGCCTAAACTTGGGCTGCATCAAATTTGGCTATCCTCCTATATAGGCCCAAACTTGGACTGTAGTACATTGGGCTATCCTCCTATATAGGCTGCCTTGACTGCTCTGACTGAATACTTTGGAAAACATCATTAAGCCCCCACACAAGGAGGTCAAGCTATGACTTAGTCAGACGTCTGACTGATGTGACGTTTGTTCATTACAGAATAAAGCCAAAGCCCAGGGTTTATGGAACCTGTTTCTCCCAGTGGAGACTGACCCAGAGCGGAAGTTCGGAGCCGGTCTCACCAACCTGGAGTATGCCTTCCTGTGTGAGGAGATGGGGCGATGTGTTGTGGCTCCAGAGGTAGGATAATTCATCAATTATTCACTATTTTCTTATTCCCTGCCAGAATATTTTGTTCAGTGTCAACTGGCACATGGTCCTGTGCACAGCAAACAGGCACAGATCAAGTCAAGCTAAGTCAAGTCTCGTTGTTAAGAGTGTGGATCAGCACACTTGACTTTTAGGGCTGAAACACATCTTGTAAAAACAACCGGTTGTGCCTCCTAAAGCAGGTGATTTTGTTCTAACTTTGCAGTGAAACCATTGGTAGATTAGGTGGTTATGTGAATTTTCAAAACACTTAAGAGACAGCCTTGGTTGTATGAGTCCCAGGGAGTTGAGAACGAATTGAAATTCATGTCCCTGCTAACATGGGTAAAAATGTCATGTGGTTTGAGCATGCGCAGTGTGGAGTTCTGCTCTGTGTAGGCAGTTTATCATTGCTATTACTGGTCAGACATCAGGATCAAAACTTGTTAAATCCACTCACTGAATTTATAAATGTTGGCAATTGAAAAGTGGAATTAGACAGTACTATTGTTATTTTTGGATGAATTGTGACAAGTGTGTTGTGTGGTGTAGGTGTTCAACTGTAATGCGCCGGACACAGGCAACATGGAGGTGCTGGTCAAGTACGGGACAGACCAACAAAAACAAAGATGGCTGACACCACTACTGAGCGGGGAGATCCGATCCTGCTTCGGGATGACCGAACCAAATGTACGAGATACAATTTAATCTTATTCCTTTCCAATGATTGAGAGTATGGTTTTTACACCACTTAGCAAAATTCCAGCAATATCACAGCGGGGACAACAGATTTGGGCTTTGCACATTGTACCCATCTGGGGTTTCGAACTTCACATAGCTTGTGAATAATATATGTGCATAATTAAACCAAACTCACTCACAGGTACGAGATGCATTCAATACATTTTGCAACTTCAATATAAGACCAAATCGCAGAGTATCTTTTGCACTTTTATTTTTCAATATAATCTCCATTCACCTCAATACACTTATTCCATTTGTCCTTCAAGCTTTTAATACCACTTTTATAGAAATCCGCAGATTGGCCCTCTAACCACGCCTCTGTGGAAGCCTTTATGTCCTCGTCATCCTGGAAGCGTCTTCCACGTAGGGCAGATTTCATTTGCCAGAATAGGAAATAGTCACTGGGGGCTAAGTGTGGGCTGTATATCTAAATCACCCATCCTACAGCCCAGTCTCTATCCGGACCTTCTCAGAGGCCGATATTTATTGTCATAACTAATATTATAGTTTTACAGAGGCAACTTGGATTTCCCTGACAACAAGACCAATTAAAAAATTGGCTTTTGTGTTCAGTTATATATTTTTGCATTGAATGAAATATTGAAATACCCCTGAATTTTAAAAAATAAGGACTTGTAAGAAATCTCAATTTTGAACAATGTTACATTTTTATCCAAAGGCAGAATCTTAGATAAGACCCTGTTCACTCACTCTACCATGTGTGATCAGACTTGCATGTGACACTAGAGGCGAGATTCTGTGAGCTTGATAAGACTAAATTGATAAGACTAAAAAAATAATAGTCTTGGTTCTCAGGCACCGCCTGCATCATCATTAAGTTCTCTTGGGTCCTTGGGTTGCAGTGCCTTGTTATGATGTTGAAAGTCTTCACATGAGAGTAACTGACCCCTGTATTGACAGGTTGCATCCTCCGACGCCACCAACATCCAGTCATCAATCAGGAGAGATGGCGACGACTACATCGTCAACGGACATAAGTGGTGGACGTCAGGTGAGAGGGTGTCATATTGGAATACATCAGGCAGAACTAGTTGGTTGTCCTCTCATTCCGGGGCAGGTCAGAAGGTGTCATTGTCGTCGTAGAGGGTACTTTAGAAACAGACCTCCTCGGTATTGAAAAGGGGGGCACTAGTGGCCCAGTCGTCTAAGGCGCCGCAATTCGCTGTGAGTTGCCTCCCTTGGGCATGCCAGAAACCTATGATTGTGGGTTCAAATCCCGGATCGCCCTGATTATGTTTCTAGGTTTGTCAGCACCATGCCTGTCCTCGTGGGTTTCACTGAAGTGGTAAACGTCTGAGACCTGCATCACTTCGTGCTTTCCTCCCACTTTAAGCTGACACGCCGTGATGTGACTGGCGTTAAACCCAACTCACTCACTCACTGTACTGAAAGGCAGCAAGATTGGAATATACGAGAGTACTCAACCCTGACCATGTATACACATTGCACCAAGCCGATTAGCAAATCTTGACCATACAAGTCTGCAAAGGCATGTCCTTTCCCACTTGTAGTGGTCAACAGGGATCAACAGGGGTCATCTGCCAGTCTCCATCTGCAGCACTCCCCATCTCAAGACTCAGGACAGATGAAGGAGGACACAAGTCTGCAGCATGAAATGTTACTGATGGTGACCTCTGTTCTAGACAATTCCATCGAAAAAAGATCCCAGGATATTTGACTGTACCTCACATCACACTTCCCTGGCCAGCTAGGTGCAAATCACCACCAGGAGGAGCCACCTCTGCTGCCATTTTCCTTCTGACATTGAGTTGAGAAAATCTGGGTGTGACCTGTTTTGCAGACTTCACCAGTGCTGTACAGGGCAGTTGGGTAGCCTTGTTTAACCATGTGCTTATCACAACGAAGGCTCGGGAACAAGTTGTGAAGCCCATTTTCACATCCAGAAGGGGATGCACAGACACCTTACTTGTTTACTTGGTTGTTATGTGCATCCCTAGTTTTCCAAAATCCTCTGAAGCTCATTTCTAGTGTCCCCTGCTGTGATATTGCCGGAACATGTTAAAAGCAGCATGATCCCTTTCTTACTCTGTGATCTACATTTTCCTTTTTTAGGTTAAAATATGGTGAGATGAGGTGAGGTGAAAAGGGTTTTTTTCGTCGCGTCCAAGATTATTGCACCCATGCACCAGTACGTGCGTGCGTGCGTGCCTGCGTGCATTCGTGTGTGCGTGCATGCATGCGTGCGTGCGCGCGAGTACTAGTCCGGGCTAATGCTGATTTTTATAGTGCTAGCACACTGAGATACCAGTTTAAAATAAATACCCCACTCAGACACAGTATACTGACTCCGAGCTGACCAGTCCTTGTTTTATCCCCTTAATCCCGAGCGTCAGGCAGGGTAACAACAAGAACAATTTTTTAACATCTTTTGGTATGATGCGGCCAGGGAGGCAGTCATTAAAATATGGAGTTGACATAACTCACTGGTATATTAGACGTAAGAATATCGTGTAAATCGGAGTTCCTTCTCTACACAAGGTGCCCTCGACCCCCGATGTAAGCTCTGTGTATTTATGGGCAAGACGGACACAGGAGCGGCAAGACATCAGCAGCAGAGTATGATCCTCGTCCCGATGGACGCTCCGGGAGTGAAGATTGTCCGGCCACTCACTGTGTTCGGATACGAAGACAGTCCAGGTACATCTACATCACACATACATCTTATATAGAACTATAGCAGTGATGACTGTATGCTGTAAAACAAATAGTAATGTGTGGCCCAATTTAATTCACTGAAAAACATGGCCTGATTATGATCTGCTGGTGTTATTGAGTATTTGATGGGCAGATATTTAACATTCGAAACCTTACAAGCTCCGACTAAAGCTTTTGGTTCAAAAGAAAAGGGTTGAATGCTCACAAACACCAACAATTCTGGAAACACATGAATTGTATCTGCTACATACTGCCCATCATAGGCCAGTCAAGAAATCTATGCTTGCAAAATTAAAGATCATTGTTCAAGAGATGCTTCTAATTTATTCATTTCTTGGTAAAATAGTTTTCAGTTACCGTATTTGACGTAATAAGCGCCCCTCTCTAATAAGCACCCACTGCGATATTTGCTAATATATTGGCTTGTGAACAATCCCATTTACCCGTAGCACCCCTTCCGATTGATCAATGTACACAAGAATTCTTTATTTGCGCATAATACGCACTCATGTGTTATATGCATTCTTAATTATGGGCAATTAAATTCTGGAAAAATATATCTGTCGCATATAAACATTTCAGTCTGTCAGCATAAACCATGAAATTTATCTTTCAACTCTGTTTTTCCACCAAAATAATATTCTAATAAGAGCCCCATATTTCTATTTTTGAGAGGGCCCTGGGCGCTTATTACGTCGAATTCGGTATACTTAGTTGTGTCATATTTTTGTGTGCCAGCCGGCCATGGAGAAGTCGTGTTTGAAAATGTGCGGGTTCCTGCCTCCAACATCCTCCTGGGTGAAGGTCGAGGGTTTGAGATAGCTCAAGGTCGTCTGGGCCCTGGTCGCATCCATCACTGTATGAGGCTGATCGGCAATGCGGAACGGGCACTTGAGTTGATGGTGAAGAGAGTGAGTAGAAGAAGGTCAAGGCCAGACATAGCAATCTTTATATGTTTTGCAAAACCACAAATTTTGATATACATGTATGCCAGAGCACCAAGATAATGACATTAAGTATATGAATACTATAGTATTGTCAGAAATGCTAGAAAAATTTTGCCTGTTAAAAAAGGATAGAATTTTTTCAAAAACTGTTGCTTTTGAAATATAGAGTAACTACCGATCTACCTATACCTGTGGTTTGAAGTATTTCAGTCACAAGGAGTCTCAACAGTAATACAGGAGTAAACGTGGGAGTCCAATGGGAGAAGTCTGAAACAAACTATAGACATATGCGCATGTGACTCCGTCATTAAAATAATGTAGTCTTCATATAAGATCTAATCCACAAAAATGAGTCATTTGGAGAAAATTCTTGATGTGCATCATATAAAATAAGAAAATGACGCTACATTTGTTTTGTCAGTCAACTCTGCTCACATGATGCATGTTGCATTACACTTACATAGCCATAGCCATGGTATACGACATGGAGTCTGTAGTTAGTTCTTTACACTTGAGAGAGATAGAGTGAGTGAGTTGGGTTCAAGTTATATCATGGCGTGTCAGCTTAATGTGGGAGGAAAGCCCGAAGTGATGCAGGTCTAAGACGTTTACCACTTCGGTGAAACCCACGAGCATGGGTATGGTGCTGACAAACCTAGAAACATAATTGGGGCGAACTGGGATTCGAACCCAGTCATAGGTTTCTGGCGTGCCCAAGGGATGCAACTCTGCACAGCGAATCGCGGCACCTTAGACGACTGGGCCGGCTGTGCCCCCCGAGAGAGATAGAGGGAAACCATGTACATGCAGTCAAGTCCTGTTAATCCGACATGGTTGGTTGCATACGATAGCGAGAACTTGTATCTGATTTTAATGATATTGAGGTAATCTATGCATGTGATTAATCCTGTTTTGTTTATTTAAAGCATTACTTGTTTATTGTTAAGTAAGTTTATCTCTGCAGCCGTTGTAATAAGCAGCTACCAGCCGATTCGACTCGCATCAAAACACGGGGCTGTGTACTCGCGGGCAGATGACCACGGAGTACGCTGATCACTGTGTCGGATTAACGAGACTGATTAATGAGTGATTTCGGTAATTCGTTGCAAATAAGGTGTGTCGGAGTCGGAGTGTGAGACTGTCGGATTAACGGGTCTAAATAGCACTCATTTAATCGGTTCCCATCATTAGTGTCAGATAAAGCCGATTGTCAGATTAACGAGTGTCGGATTAACGATACTTGACTGTATTAGTTTAGATAGGGTGTATTACTGAACTGGCTAAGCGCCGGGACTTTCATACCAACAAGTCTTCGGTATGATAAACTAACAAAGAATATAGGGGTCGTGTCAAAAGCAAAACCGGGACGTAAAAGGTTATCAGACAGCTTGGATACAGGGGTGATCAGGCGTATAGTGTACAGGCTTTAGGAGCAGAAGGTACCCCCAACTTGTAGTAGAATTCGAGAGGAAATTAAGGACACAAGAAATGTTTCCCAGACTACATTAATTATTGCTCTCCACGAGATTAGGTGGATTCACGTCTTTTGATATATGCCGTTTTCATAGCCCTATGATTCGTACTTGTTTATTGAAGCCAGAAGGATTTTTCTGGCATTTCCGACAGTACTTTGTCATGCCTCAGTGGGGGTTTCGAGTTAGAATAGGCCCCTAGAGCTCGGCTGTTGAAGTGACTAGAATGGATCTTATGGTGAGGTTCTGTGACTTGGTTGATTGCTTGTTAGTATACCTAACATTATGGGACATAACTCATTCCATCAGTCATGTCCATTCTCAAACACTTACATGCCACCATAATATTGCTGCAATATAAAACTGCACCATTAAACACGGAAAAACATCGGAAAATACAAGTATCAACTGTTTCATGTAAGACAGTTAATACATATTTTGTCAAATTATATCATGTAGTTCATAAGTTTTGGGGGGGATTCAAAAGGAGATATTTTCAAACTAATTAAATCTAGTTTGTTTGTGGTTTAACGCCATATTCAGCAATATTCCAACTGTATGACGGTGGTCTGTAAATAATTGAGTCTGGACTAGACAATCCAGTGATTGATATCATGAGCATCGATCCACACAATTGGGATACGATGACATGCATCAACCAAATCAGGGAGGTGAGTCTGACGAACCGAACCGATCCCGTTAGTCACCTCTTACGACAAGCATGGGTTGCTGAAGACCTATTCTATACCCTGGATCTTCATCTAGAGACTACAAGAGCCGTGGTAACAGAGATTGCTTAATGATACTTGCTGCCAAAGATAGAATGCTGAACCTCTGTGATGAGAGAGGGGATTGCCTCTGAGTCAGGTTAGGTGGAGTTCAGTCTGTGTTTGCCCATGTTTCAGACTCAGGAAAGAATTGCCTTCGGGAAGCCTTTAGCAGCTCAGGGAACGATACAGGCTGACATCGCCCAGTCACGTATAGAGATAGAACAGACTCGACTCCTGGTGTTGAAGGCTGCCTACATGATGGACGTGTACGGGAATAAGGTGAGTGTTGTATAGAAATAGAACAGACACCTGGTGTTGAAGGCCGCCTACATGATGGACGTCTACGGGAATAAGGTGAGTCTTGTATAGAGATAGAACAGACACCTGGTGTTGAAGGCTGCCTACATGATGGACGTGTACGGGAATAAGGTGTCTTGTATAGAGATAGAACAGACACCTGTAGTTGAAGGCTGCCTACATGATGGACGTGTACGGGAATAAGGTGGGTCTTGTATAGAGATAGAACAGACACCTAGTGTTGAAGGCTGCCTACATGATGGACGTGTACGGGAATAAGGTGTCTTGTATAGAGATAGAACAGACACCTGGTGTTGAAGGCTGCCTACATGATGGACGTGTACGGGAATAAGGTGTCTTGTATAGAGATAGAACAGACACCTGGTGTTGAAGGCTGCCTACATGATGGACGTGTACGGGAATAAGGTGAGTCTTGTATAGAGATAGAACAGACACCTGGTGTTGAAGGCTGCCTACATGATGGACGTGTACGGGAATAAGGTGAGTCTCGTATAGAGATAGAGCAGACTCGTCTTCTGGTGTTGAAGGCTGCCTACATGATGGACGTGTACGGGAATAAGGTGAGTCTTGTATAGAGATAGAACAGACACCTGGTGTTGAAGGCTGCCTACATGATGGACGTGTACGGGAATAAGGTGAGTCTCGTATAGAGATAGAGCAGACTCGTCTTCTGGTGTTGAAGGCTGCCTACATGATGGACGTGTACAGAATAAGGTGAGTCTCGTATAGAGATAGAGCAGACTCGTCTTCTGGTGTTGAAGGCTGCCTACATGATGGACGTGTACGGGAATAAGGTGAGTCTTGTATAGAGATAGAACAGACACCTGGTGTTGAAGGCTGCCTACATGATGGACGTGTACGGGAATAAGGTGGGTCTTGTATAGAGATAGAACAGACACCTGGTGTTGAAGGCTTCCTACATGATGGACGTCTACGGGAATAAGGTGAGTCTTGTATAGAGATAGAACAGACACCTGGTGTTGAAGGCTGCCTTCATGATGGACGTGTACTGTAATAAGATGAGCCTTGTATAGAGATAGAACAGACACCTGGTGTTGAAGGCTGCCTACATGATGGACGTGTACAGGAATAAGGTGAGTCTTGTGTAGAGATAGAACAGACACCTGGTGTTGAAGGCTGCCTACATGATGGACGTGTACAGGAATAAGGTGAGTCTTGTGTAGAGATAGAACAGACACCTGGTGTTGAAGGCTGCCTACATGATGGACGTGTACAGGAATAAGGTGAGTCTTGTGTAGAGATAGAACAGACACCTGGTGTTGAAGGCTTCCTACATGATGGACGTGTACAGGAATAAGGTGAGTCTTGTGTAGAGATAGAACAGACACCTGGTGTTGAAGGCTTCCTACATAATGGACGTGTACAGGGATAAGGTGAGTGTTGTATAGAGATAGAACAGACACCTGGTGTTGAAGGCCGCCTACATGATGGACGTGTACGGGAATAAGGTGAGTGTTGTATAGAGATAGAACAGACACCTGGTGTTGAAGGCTGCCTACATGATGGACGTGTACGGGAATAAGGTGAGTCTTGTATAGAGATAGAACAGACACCTGGTGTTGAAGGCCGCCTACATGATGGACGTGTACGGGAATAAGGTGAGTCTTGTATAGAGATGGAACAGACACCTGGTGTTGAAGGCCGCCTTCATGATGGACGTCTACGGGAATAAGGTGTCTTGTATAGGGATAGAACAGACACCTGGTGTTGAAGGCCGCCTACATGATGGACGTGTACGGGAATAAGGTGTCTTGTATAGAGATAGAACAGACACCTGGTGTTGAAGGACGCCTACATGATGGACGTGTACGGGAATAAGGTGTCTTGTATAGAGATAGAACAGACACCTGGTGTTGAAGGCTGCCTACATGATGGACGTGTACGGGAATAAGGTGAGTCTTGTATAAAGATAGAACAGACACCTGGTGTTGAAGGCTGCCTACATGATGGATGTGTACAGGAATAAGGTGAGTCTTGTATAGAGATAGAACAGACACCTGGTGTTGAAGGCTTCCTACATGATGGACGTGTACGGGAATAAGGTGAGTCTTGTATAGAGATAGAACAGACACCTGGTGTTGAAGGCCGCCTACATGATGGACGTGTACGGGAATAAGGTGAGTCTTGTATAGAGATAGAACAGACACCTGGTGTTGAAGGCCGCCTACATGATGGACGTGTACGGGAATAAGGTGAGTCTTGTATAGAGATAGAACAGACACCTTGTGTTGAAGGCCGCCTACATGATGGACGTGTACGGGAATAAGGTGTCTTGTATAGAGATAGAACAGACACCTGGTGTTGAAGGCTGCCTACATGATGGACGTGTACGGGAATAAGGTGAGTCTTGTATAGATATAGAACAGACTAGACACCTGATGTTGAAGGCTGCCTACATGATCAGATAATATTTAGGTTGAACAATTTTTTTAATTTTATCATTTTTGTTTGTATTCCAAGGTCGCTGCACCAGAGATAGCCATGATCAAAGTATCAGCCCCAAGCATGGCCCAGCGAGTCATTGACAGAGCCATACAGGTGAGAACAATTGTCAGACCCCCAATAAAAATTATGGCCCAAGACAGACCATACAGGTTGGAACTATGGAACTCTGTCTGTCTGCCTGATGTCTGTCTGTCTGTCTGATGTATGTCTGATGTTTGTCTGCCTGATGTATGTCTGTCTGATGTCTGTCTGTCTGTCTGCCTGATGACTGTCTGTCTACCTTGTCTGTCTGTCTACCTTATGTCTGTCTGTCTACCTTATGTCTGTCTGTCTGTTGGTTTGTCTGTCTGATGGTTGTCTGTCTGCCTGATGTCTGTCTGTCTGTCTGATGTCTCTCTGCCTGATGTATGTCTGTCTGTTTGTCTGTCTGTCTGATGTTTGTCTGTCTGTCTGTCTGTCTGATGTCTCTCTGCCTGATGTATGTCTGTCTGATGTCTGTCTGTCTGTCTGCCTGATGACTGTCTGTCTACCTTGTCTGTCTGTCTACCTTATGTCTGTCTGTCTGATGTTTGTCTCTCTGTCTGATGTTTGTCTGTCTGTCTGTCTGATGTCTCTCTGCCTGATGTCTGTCTGTCTGATGTCTGTCTGCCTGATGTCTGTCTGTCTGATGTCTCTCTGCCTGATGTATGTCTGTCTGATGTCTGTCTGTCTGATGTCTGTCTGTCTGATGTATGTCTGTCTGATGTCTGTCTGTCTGATGTATCTCTGCCTGATGTATGTCTGTCTGATATATGTCTGTCTGATGTCTGTCTGTCTGATGACTGTCTGATGTCTCTCTGCCTGATGTATGTCTGTCTGATGTCTCTCAACCTGATGTTTCTCTGTCTGTCTGATGTCTGTCTGTCTGTCTACCTGATGTCTGTTTGTCTGATGTCTCTCTGCCTGATGTTTGTCTGTCTGTCTGATGTCTGTCTCTGTCTTTCTACCTGATGTCTGTCTGTATGTCTGTCTGATGTCTCTCTGTCTGATATCTCTCTGCCTGATGTCTGTCTGATGTATGTCTGTCTACCTGATGTCTGTCTGATGTATGTCTGTCTACCTGATGTCTGTCTGATGTATGTCTGTCTACCTGATGTCTGTCTGATGTATGTCTGTCTACCTGATGTCTGTCTGATGTATGTCTCTCTGCCTGATGTCTGTCTGATGTCTGTCTGTCTCTCTGCCTGATGTCTGTCTGTCTCTCTGCCTGATGTCTGTCTACCCTATGTCTGTCTACCTGATGTCTGTCTGTCTCTCTAGGCCCATGGTGGAGCTGGTCTTCACCACGACCTGCCCCTGGCGATGATGTTTACCTGGGCTCGTATCCTGCGTCTCGCTGACGGCCCTGACGAAGTACACAAGCGTGCTGTGGCAAGGATGGAATATGCAAAGTCTGTCAAAGCTAACTTGTAGAGAATTATTAATCAAAACGTACAAAGAAAACCTCGAGGAGGCAACCTCATTCCTGCAAAACTGGACGAAAAGTTGTTGTTCATTAGAGATTGAAGATAATTTATTATGATTAATATAAAATTTGATCAATCTTGATTTCCGGGTTTTGCCCATTGTAAGTTTCTAAGCGGCTCTAAAAGAGGGATTGACCCAGGCCAATTGGCAGTACTTGCGGTTCAAGTCATTCTGAACACACATAGCCTGCTAACTCAGATTGTAGGACGGAACTCATTCCAGCAGTGTGAGTGTTATTACTGAAAACTTCACCATCTTATGGCCATTTCAACTCTAGGAATGGTAAATTGAATAACTGCTGATGACGACTGGGGGATTGAACCCAGATCACAATATGCAGGGAAGCAGTGAAAACTAAGGTTGTTTGAATGGCCATGTCAGTGGCAATTGTCTTGAGTCAAGCCAGCTACGCCATGATCGTTCTTCGGGCTTCTTCCCAGGTCATGCTTGTAGTAAGAGATGACCAAATGGATCGGGTGGTCAGACTCGGTGACTTGGTTAATAGCATGTCATCGTACCCCAATGATGTGGATCATTGCTTATAATATCTATCACTGGTTTGTCTGGTCCAGACTCGACGATACATACAAGTTGCAGTCATATATCTGGAATGTTTCTGTGTGTCATTAAGGCTTAAAAAAATAAAAGAATTGGTTCTCAGGCACTGTGGGGGTGGGGTGGGGGGGTGTGTGTTTACAAACTAGTATGTAACAAAAAATAAACGTTTCTGTAATCAATAAAACAATTGTGTACAATCAACCTGGGACAGGGCCTCCCTAAAATAAATGTGTTCCTAGATGAGTAAAATAATGGAATACAAGTTGGACTTGGAATATTTAAGGATTTTTTATATATATTTTTAAAAAATTGAAATATAAACGAAAGGTGCGGTGAACTTTATGATGTGCCTGAGAACCAAGACTTTTATTATTTTTAGTCTTAACAACAATTGATGAAATTACTGAAGGATTATCCCAGAGTAGTGAAACCAGGGTAGAAGTGAAATCTTTATTTGAATAGGCCCCCATTTGCGTCTTGAGGCTAGTTACTCTTTACAAATCTTAGCATTGCAGCATACTGTGTGGAGTTTCATCATCCACTGAAACTGTTATCACAATTTCAGTAGAATAATAGTGCTTGTTGATCATTTCCTAGTTGATAGTGTAGACTAATACCATTGGGTTTTTTTCTTTGTCATTCTAAGAGTGACAGGGTATTACTGTGATACCCTTTTGAATGAATCCATATTCCATGGCTGTACATTATGATTTACAATATTCAGCCCCAATCTTTAGTACCACTTTCCTGCTACTTTAGTGTAATTTTAGTGCCACTTTAGTGCCAATTGTTATTTATCAGATCAGATGATGTGATTCACACCATGAGAAATGTGTAAATCTGTTCATATTCTGCTGTAAAGGATAGTGCTATCTAAGGTGTATATTGCTTTGTATACTGGAGTAATGATGAATTGACATTGTTTTTGTATGAAAACAAAATAAATCTATTTTCTTTATTTGTTGACTTTGACTTTGTTGTTGTTGAGATTGGTATCAAATATCAAAGTTGATATATTACTCATAGACATATAAAACTGGTGGATCAAACAGAATGTCATGGTAGAGTGAGTGAGTGAGTGAGTGAGTATGGTTTTACGCCGCTTTTAGCAATATTCCAGCAATATCACGGTGGGGGACACCAGAAATGGGCTTCACACATTGTACCCATGTCAGGAATCGAACCCGGGTCTTTTGCGTGACGAGCGAACGCTTTAACCACGAGGCTACCCGACCACCCCATGTGTGTCATGGTAGAAGTTTACCTCTATATCAACTCATCATCACTATTTTCACATTTCATAGATTAAAACAGCCACGTGAGGCAAGGGAGTTAACTGACAATAAAGTATGGTTTCATTCTTGTCAAACTAGGCTGGAATTTTGTGGCCCAAACGTAGTGCCACATGGGTCTTCACCATGACGAGCGAACGCTTTACCTACTAGGCTACCCCACCGCCCCTTCTGTAGCTGAGGAATTGGTCGTTGTTATAAGGGGTCTGGGTCCGAGGGCATCTGGGAAGGGTCACCAAAACATATGACAGTATCTGGAGGAGGGTCGTAACAAATGATACACATCTTTGAGGAGGGTCATGATAATGTGGACAGTTAATAATGAAATAGGTGATTTTGCATTTTGTCTTTTTCAGGGAGGGTCAGGAAGAAAATGTACAAAGACATGGGGAGGGTCATCCAAAAATATGACCAGCATTATGGGGGGTTATTATTTTCAGTACATTAGTGCATCAAAAACCTCTGACCACCCCCTCTGTAATAAATGACCAGTCCCTGAGATATTCAAATTGGTTATGGCCATGATGGGCGGTCGGGTAGCCTAGTGTCTAAAGCGTTCACTCGTCACGCTGAAGACCCGGGTTCGATTCCCGACATGGGTACTATGTGTGAAGCCCATTTCTGGTGTTCCCCGCCGTGATATTGCTGGAATATTGCCAAAAGCAGCGTAAAACAATACTCACTCACTCACTTATGGCCATGACCACCCACTGGGAAATCCAAAGCAAAGACGTAAGTGGTCATAAAGTTTAGTCTGGGTAGACAGAGGTCCAGATTAATAAGGTGGTTGTGTGGTGTTCTAGTTTAAGGGTGACATGGGCCAACAGGAGGCCTATTTGCGAACGAGTAAGATTTTTATCAAGAGTTGCATCCCTTGCTGTCACGATATGAGTGATGTAGTGAGTATGATTTTATGCTGCTTCAAGCAATATTCCAGCAAAGCCACATTGTACCCATGTGGGGAATCGAACCCAGGTCTTCACCATGATGAGTTAACACTTTAACTACTAGGCTACCCCGCCGCCCCTTGAACACACACATCGAAGACACTTTGATCCAAGTTCTTCAATGTTACACACAATTTGAAAGAAATATCTTCACACATCTTTGTTAAAACGTATGCCATTCTTAAAATTTATGTTTGTGTAAATAACATTAATTCAAGAAAGTGTCAACTTCCGTTCTCACTTGTGAAAGACGAGAATGAAAAGCAAGAATATGAATGTGTAAAATATATTTAATTCAATAATGTATCAATCATTGGATACAAATCATAATACATTGATGACTACTTTAAAGTAGACATTTGACTTAATAATATAATATCACTGTAAGCTTGAGATGCCACTTGTCTGTAAATCACAAGAACATCAGAACAAGTTTTACAATGGGTTCTGGAGGCAGTTTCACTGTGACAAACAAATGTAATTCTGAGATTATCACATCAGAAATCAGACGGTAAATGTGGAATCTATAATATCTCCAGCAGTACACATATATTACCAAAATTGCTGTATCAATAACAAAATAATAAATTAAAGTATATTCTCACTGTATTTCTACATTTTGCAAGATTTCATAAACAGCAGTTCAACTAATATCCAGACTAGCCCTATTGAGGTGACTGCTTGTCGTGAGAGGTGACTTACGGGATTGGGTTGTCAGGCTCACTGATGATGCATGTCATCGACCCCAATTGCGTGGATCGATGGTCATGATGTAGATCACTGGATTGTCTTGATTATTTACAGACCGCCGTCATATAGCTGGAATATTGCTGAGTGCAGCGTTAAACAACAAACAAACAAACAAACAAACTAGCCCTATTGCTTCAGTGTGTCATTATGTGAATTATATTTTAACCTAGAAATGAAAAACCTCCCATTCTGTGATTCCTCTGCAAGTTCTCAAGAATAAATTCTGAAACATATTGTTCCATGGAATTGAAAAGCTATGTGAAAATAAAAAAAGATCAGAAAACCAGCGCAAATTACAAACTGCATGGATACAAATGAACTTTTTATCATCTTGTGTACATGGCATAATGCAACTGATTTGTACTATGAATTTACTTCAACACAATCACATTAATTTAATCTTCCAACCCAGATGAGTAATAGATTCGAGAATAAAAGAATCAGGCATTTGAATTAAGGACAAATATTTAAATTCTTAAACTCTATTGATAGCTAAACTGAAGGTCAATTACCCACTTCAACCTTCCCCCACTTAAAAATGTTTCATGACCTTGACTTGTGACCTCAGCGCCCCACTTTATGAGTTTCCTTTGGTTGGTCAATTCTATAGACGAACTCGGCCAATGAGAAGTAGGCTCTGTACTTGACCTCGTTGGGCGTGGTGTCATAATGGTAGTGACCTCCCTGACCATGTGTGCTGAAGCAGTGGAAGTGCTCTGTCCGAAGGTCAAGGTCCTTTAACATAAGAGGTCATTTTAAAAAAAGCCATGTTAGTCCAGATAAATGGCTCAATAATTCACAAAAGGATTGAAATAAACATAGTTCACAAAATTATTTAAAACATTGGCCGCAATCGACGATTCAATGATCATGTTGATGAATTTAAATTGTGATTTGTCAGTCAGCATCAACTTTGCGATGTAGGTAAGAAAACTGCTATCGATATCCATGCAAGCCCTTTTCTGCATATTGTATGTGTCATTTTCTAAAACTACTCTAGAAATCCGCTTGCTGCCTCACTTTCCAAATCACTGCGATGGCCATTAAACTTTCAGTGTGGCATAGATCAGATAAGACAAGAAAAGGGTCTTTACATCACACAAAATGACAAGATATCCATACACATGACACAGGCCGGCCAGCCAACTTGTATGGGTTTCACAAGACGGCAACAGGCCAATCAGATAACTAGATTCTTCAGCGATTAATAACAAAGAAGCTTACAGGGTCATGTGACACCAGCTCTCCCAGGCACACCAGAGGTGCATCCATCTCGAAAAATTTCAGCCAGTTGTTGACATCTTCGTCAGACTTGAGAGGAGTCTTGGAGAAGTCGGGCTGGAAGAGAACATCATCAAGTCTATATAGACACACACACCGAGATGCCAACCATTATGATTTGGTTGGAATCGTTATAATATTTTGATCCAAATTCTGCGAATATGATTAAGCGAAACATATGAATTTTTCAAAAAACATTGCCAGTAACTAGATTTTGACCTAGCTACAATCATTGTTATATAAACAAACAGTTAATAATCAATAATAATAATTTCTTTTTGCTTGTGATGGTGAGTGAGTGAGTGAGTGAGTGAGTGAGTGAGTGAGTGAGTGAGTTGGGTAACAGTATTCCAGTTATATCGTGGCGTGTCAGCTTAATGTGGGAGGAAAGCCCGAAGTGATGCAGGTCTCAGACGTTTACCACTTCGGTGAAACCCACGAGCACGGGTATGGTGCTGACAAACCGAGAAACATAATCGGGGCGAACCGGGATTCGAACCCACAATCATAGGTTTCTGGCGTGTCCAAGGGACGCAACTCTGCACAGCGAATCGCGGCACCTTAGACGACTGGGCCACCCGTGTCCCCTGCTTGTGATGGGAAGGATATGAGATGTTGGGGTGATAAATGTTATGCAAAAATGAGCCCTACTCTGCGCATGAACTTGACGTGAACCCTAGCAGTGGTAGAAACTACCATTTTTGGTCCACTAGTCCTTAAAATGATAACATATAGCAACACCCTTAAATATTGGCAAATTTCTACTAGTCCTTATGATAACTCAACTGTTGGGCAGTTTGGCAAGGACTACAGGACTAGTGCCAATTTCTAACGCTGCCTAGCATTGCCCGGTATTGAAGTACATGACGTTGTCTGCAAGGCTGTGGCACATGTTGCATGAACATACACAGGTAACCTGAGAGCTCATTGGTCAGACCCCTCACCATCTTCCCGAGGCTAGCGACTATCAAAGTCCAATTTCCACCCTTGCCGAACTAGGCTGGTATTATGGAGTTACATTTTGGCTGGACTAATGAGTCTATGCATAGTCCAATCAAAATCGTGCAACAAAATCGAAATCCGGTTCGTAAACTGTCGCGCATATTTCGGTCGATTGCAGGATTTGCAAGGCATATGTACCGCCAACTCGTTGTCAACAGATATTTTACAAATCTTTTTATGTTTGTAATCAAGGTGCTCACTTGATTTGATGCACTTTGCGATGTAAGACCTCTTTTATCACAATATAGATCTTGAGTTTAGATCAGATCGTCTTGACTGGGCGCCGCCATTTTATTTGAAGCAGATGCAAGTGATACGAGAGGTGGAATTTGAATGGTCCATAGGAGAGGCTTAGAAGGGACATAACTCGTAATAACCACTTGTGGCGCTACGATCGAGCCCAGGAATTCCAGCCTAGTTCGGCAAGGGTGGGAACTGGACTTTTAAAGTCAGTTAACTCTCTTGCCTCGGGAAGATGACCCCTCACTGGATCCCCTCTTGCTGGAATCCGGTCCTGACATGATTCATTGGTCAAACATACCAACTACACTTCTGAGAGACTGTGTGTATTCTTGTTGACGGAGTACCCTAGTACATACAAACACATGACCCACTGATGTTGCACTGTCAGTCAAAAACTCTATGTCGACGTTAGACAGACGCCCATTTAGCTACAGACAATAATAACGTACAAGCTCAACATGGTCGCTTTAATTTTACTATTCTAATTCTTGTAGAGAAATTAATGTGCAACAGACAGAAATCTGTGGTCCACGGTCAGGCAGTTACGCGTACAAGTGCCCCCCTCTCAGGTGCTCACTTTTACGTGTAACACGAGACCCGTGTCACGCACACGTTAGGTCCTATACTGTCAATGCCGAACATCATATCACTGTGCGGGTTTAACATGGTCGCTTTAATTTTATGATTCTTATTCTTGTAGACATTCATGTGCTACAGGCAGATATATGTACAAATGACCCTGGCAGTGATCTCAGGCAGACTGAGGCATGTCAGGGACTTGTCTCATGTACAAATTAAGTCCTCTACTGCTAATGCTGAATATGGTACCACTGACCATGATGTGAAGGTTGGCCTTCCCACTCTCTATCAGGAAAGTTCCACCCAGGGCGACAGGCTTGGTATTGTAGTGATCTGCCAGACTCGTCCTCAGACTGGTCATGAAGTTGTCCGGACCAGTCCTCCTGCTCGCAACCACTTCGATGACCTGGCAAACCATCACAGATGTGCTGATAATAAACCTACCAGAATGACACAATAGCCTACCACATGACCACTACTTATTTGAAATTGCAATCAAAGAATGCACTTAGTTTAATGACAAGTGGACATAGACTATAAGTATCATTCCAAACACCACCCACATGGAGCAGGGAGAGTGAATGAGTGAGTTGGGTTTAACGTCGCTTTTAACAGTATTACAGTTATATCGCAGCATGTCAGCTTAATGTGGGAGGAAAGCCCGAAGTGATGCAGGTCTCAGACATTTACCACTTCGGTGAAACCCACGAGCATGGGTATGGTGCTGACAAACCTAGAAACATAATCGGGACAAAACGGGATTCGAACCCACAATCATAGGTTTCTGGCGTGCCCAAGGGATGCAACTCTGCACAGTGAATCGCGGCGCCTTAGACAACTGGGTCATCTGTGCCCCCTTGAGAGAGAGAAGATGGGGGGGCGGGGAAGGCCCAAAACAAGTGTCCATTGACTATGAGTATCACTCCCAACACCACCCACAAGGAGCAGACAGTATACCTTCCCTGGTTTTCCTTCTGAGCACAGGAAGTTCCCCATGAGGCAGAAGTCTGTGGAGTTTACTTTCTCTAGAACACAGGCATCATTCTGGAACAAAACAAATCAGAGAGGAAGAGTGAGTGAATGTTGTTCCACTCACCAATGTTACAGCTACAGACCTGTAAATAATAAAACGCCACGTATAACAGTATCTCAGTTATATCACTGCATGTCATCTTGATGTAGAAGGTTTGTTTCAGTTTTTACTTCTTTGTTGTTTAAGACCACCCTCAGCAATATTCCAGCTATATGTCAGCGATCAGTAAATAATGGAGTCTTGACCAGGCAATCCAGTGATCGATATTGTGAACACAGATCCATGTCTTCGGGGCATGATGACACGTAATCAACAAGGTCTGACAATCAAACCCATTTGTTCGCCTCTTACAACAAGTTTAGGTTTCTGTGGACTAACCCAGGAAGAAGCCTAAAGAGATGCCCGTGTTGGACATTTACAACTTTGCTGAAGGAAATAATCATACAATTCAATCCAGTGGTCGACTGCAAGAGCAACTACCCACATGGGTGGGATGACCAACAATCAGCCAGGGTTCCGTTCTACATAGGGATCTTAGAGCTACGACTGCTGTAAGTCTGTGCTAAAGCATGGGAGTTTTCATCTGCAATCGCTTTGTGGAATGATGGTCTGATCACTCATGATTTGAAGCATGGGTACTAGAGACCTAGTCTGACCCACAACCTCACCAGGGGCCACTAACAGCAAGCATGGGGTACGAGAGACCTATTCTGAGCCACAATCTCACCAGGGGCCACTAACAGCAAGCATGGGTACTAGAGACCTTGTCTAACCCACAATCTCACCAGGGGCCACTAACAGCAAGCATGGGGTACGAGAGACCTATTCTGAGCCACAATCTCACCAGGGGCCACTAACAGCAAGCATGGGTACTAGAGACCTTGTCTAACCCACAATCTCACCAGGGGCCACTAACAGCAAGCATGGGGTACGAGAGACCTAGTCTGACCCACAATCTCACCAGGTACCACTAACAGCAAGCATGGGTACTAGAGACCTAGTCTGACCCACAACCTCACCAGGGGCCACTAACAGCAAGCATGGGTACTAGAGACCTAGTCTGACCCACAATCTCACCAGGGGCCACTAACAGCAAGCATGGGTACTAGAGACCTTGTCTGACCCACAATCTCACCAGGGGCCACTAACAGCAAGCATGGGTACTAGAGACCTAGTCTGACCCACAATCTCACCAGGGGCCACTAACAGCAAGCATGGGTACTAGAGACCTTGTCTGACCCACAATCTCACCAGGGGCCACTAACAGCAAGCATGGGTACTAGAGACCTTGTCTGACCCACAATCACACCAGGTACCACTAACAGCAAGCATGGGTACTAGAGACCTTGTCTGACCCACAACCTCACCAGGGGCCACTTACAGCAAGCATGGGTACTAGAGACCTAGTCTGACCCACAATCTCACCAGGGGCCACTAACAGCAAGCATGGGTACTAGAGACCTTGTCTGACCCACAACCTCACCAGGGGCCACTAACAGCAAGCATGGGGTACTAGAGACCTAGTCTGACCCACAACCTCACCAGGGGCCACTAACAGCAAGCGTGGGGTACTAGAGACCTAGACTGACCCACAATCTTACCAGGTACCACTAACAGCAAGCATGGGTACTAGAGACCTAGTCTGACTCACAATCTCACCAGGGGCCACTAACAGCAAGCATGGGTACTAGAGACCTTGTCCGACCCACAATCTCACCAGGGGCCACGAACAGCAAGCATGGGTACTAGAGACCTAGTCTGACCCACAATCTCACCAGGGGCCACTAACAGCGAGCATCGGTACTAGAGACCTAGTCTGACCCTGAAATCTCACCAGGTACCACTAACAGCAAGCATGGGTACTAGAGACCTTGTCTGACCCACAATCTCACCAGTGGCAGCTAACAGCAAGCATGGGGTACTAGAGACCTTGTCTGACCCACAAACTCACCAGGGGCCGCTAACAGCAAGCATGGGGTACTAGAGACCTAGTCTGACCCACAACCTCACCAGGGGCCACTAACAGCAAGCATGGGTACTAGAGACCTTGTCTGACCCACAATCTCACCAGGGACAGCTAACAGCAAGCATGGGTACTAGAGACCTAGTCTGACCCACAACCTCACCAGGGGCCACTAACAGCAAGCATGGGTACTAGAGACCTTGTCTGACCCACAATCTCACCAGGGACAGCTAACAGCAAGCATGGGTACTAGAGACCTAGTCTGACCCACAACCTCACCAGGGGCCGCTGACAGCAAGCATGGGTACTAGAGACCTAGTCTGACCCACAACCTCACCAGATGCCATGACTAGCAAGGTTCTTGTACAGCCTTCCAATGGTCATGAGATTAAATGTTAAGAAACTGTTCCTATGTCCTACCTCAGTCTTGGCAATGTAGGAGTTGTTGATGGCAGTCCCAGTGTCAGTCTCAGGAACCTTCACATTGCCAATCAGCTGCAAACACAAGGACAAACACAATGCTAAACCAATCATACATGTAATTAAAGACATGTCAGAGACACCAGTGCTTGTATCCATGGCACAAGATTTCAGCTTCATTAACACAGGGGGTTCAGAGAAGTAAACACATGCAGTAAACTGCAATCAAGGAAGTGAGGAGTGAGTGAGTTCAGTTTTACGCCGCTTTTAGCAATATTCCAGCAATATCACGGCGGGGGACACCAGAAATGGGCTTCACTTATTGTACCAATGTCGGGAATCGAACCCGGGTCTTTGGCGTGACGAGCGAACGCTTTAACCACTAGGCTACCCGACCGCCCCTAAGGAAGTGAGGAGAAAAGGTGAGGTGAGGTGAGGTGAAATTGGGTATAACGTCGCATTCAAGGTGAGGTGAGGTGAAATTGGGTATAACGTCGCATTCAAGGTGAGGTGAGGTGAAATGGGGTTTAACATCGCATTCAAGGTAAGGTGAGATGAAATGAGGTTTAACGTCTCATTCAAGGTGAGGTGAGGTCAAATGGGGTTTAACATCTCATTCAAGGTGAGGTGAGGTCAAATGGGGTTTAACGTATTCAAGGTGAGGTGAGGTGAAATGGGGTTTAACGTCGCATTTAAGGTGAGGTGAGGTGAAATGGGGTTTAACGTCGTATTCAAGGTGAGGTGAGGTGAAATTGTGTTTAACGTTGCATTCAAGATTATTGCACTCATATAGTGACGTGCATGCACGTGTGTGTGTGGCTGCTTGTATTAGTCTGAATTAATGCCGATTTATAGTGCTAGCTCACTGAAATACAATGCTGCAGTTTAACGTGAATACCCCACTCAGACACAGTATTCTGACTCCGGGCCCACCAGTCCTTGTTTTAGCCCCTTAATGCCGAGTGCAAGACAAGGTAACAACAAGTACCATATTTTAAAGTCTTTTGGTATGACGTGGCCGGGGATCGAACCCAGAACTTTCCGCTCTCCGGGCGGACGCTCTACCACTAGACCACGGAGGCAGTCAAAGAGGAGAAAAGGGATGGGATTTAACATTACGTTCAAGATTATCGTGTTCAAGATTACTGCATTTATATAGCAGCACATGCAGACATTTGTGTGCTTGTACTAGTCCGGACTATTGATGTTTGCATAGTGTTAGCCTACTGTAATTCCAGTTCAATATGGATACTATAAGATACTATAATATGGATATATATCAGATATATAAAAATATCAGACATATACTGACTCATTGTTTTATCTCTTAATGTCAAGCGCCAGGCAAGGTAACAACAAGTACCATATGTAGATGCTCTATCCACTAGGAAGATCAATGAGGGTAACCCCTACAACATAATGGAGGAGTCCAAGTCTCACCTCACTGTTCACCCTACAACATAATGGAGGATTCCATGTCTCACCTTACCGTTCACCCCTACAACATAATTGAGGAGTCCATGTCTCACCTCACTGTTCACCTCAACAACATAATGGAGGAGTCCATGTCTCACCTCACTGTTCATCCTACAACACAATGGAGGAGTCCATGTCTCACCTCACTGTTCACCCAACAACATAATGGAGGAGTCCATGTCTCACCTCACTGTTCACCCCTACAACAGAATGGAGGAGTCCATGTCTCACCTCACTGTTCACCCAACAACATAATGGAGGAGTCCATGTCTCACCTCACTGTTCACCCAACAACATAATGGAGGTGTCCATGTCTCACCTCACTGTTCACCCCTACAACACAATGGAGGAATCCATGTCTCACCTCACTGTTCACCCAACAACAGAATGGAGGAGTCCATGTCTCACCTCACTGTTCACCCAACAACATAATGGACGAGTCCATGTCTCACCTCACTGTTCACCCAACAACAGAATGGAGGAGTCCATGTCTCACCTCACTGTTCACCCAACAACATAATGGACGAGTCCATGTCTCACCTCACTGTTCACCCAACAACAGAATGGAGGAGTCCATGTCTCACCTCACTGTTCACCCAACAACATAATGGACGAGTCCATGTCTCACCTCACTGTTCACCCAACAACATAATGGAGGTGTCCATGTCTCACCTCACTGTTCACCCAACAACATAATGGAGGAGTCCATGTCTCACCTCACTGTTCACCCAACAACATAATGGAGGAGTCCATGTCTCACCTCACTGTTCACCCAACAACATAATGGACGAGTCCATGTCTCACCTCACTGTTCACCCCTACAACACAATGGATGAGTCCATGTCTCACCTCACTGTTCACCCCTACAACACAATGGAGGAGTCCATGTCTCACCTCACTGTTCACCCAACAACATAATGGAGGAGTCCATGTCTCACCTCACTGTTCACCCAACAACACAATGGATGAGTCCATGTCTCACCTCACTGTTCACCCCTACAACACAATGGAGGAGTCCATGTCTCACCTCACTGTTCACCCCTACAACATGACATGGACCGGCACCAGCTCCAATGATGAAGGCACCTGGCAGGTTGACCAGCTTGGAAATCAAGGGGAAGTTAAACACCTGCAATACAACGGGAGAATTAACCGACACATCATGCTGACACATCAAATTGACATAACACACCAACACATCACATTGACACACCATGCTGACCCAACATGCCGACACATCAGGGTGACATAACACACCAACACATCACACTGACACACCATGCTGACCCAACATGCCGACACATCAAAGTGACATAACACACCAACACATCACATTGACACACCACGCTGACCCAACATGCCGACACATCAAAGTGACATAACACACCAACACATCACATTGACACACCACGCTGACCCAACATGCCGACACATCAAAGTGACATAACACACCAACACATCACATTGACACACCATGCTTACCCAACATGCCGACACATCAAAGTGACATAACACACCAACACATCACATTGACACACCATGCTGACCCAACATGCCGACACATCAAAGTGACATAACACACCAACACATCACATTGACACCCCATGCTGACCCAACATGCCGACACATCAGGGTGACATAACACACCAACACATCACACTGACACACCACGCTGACCCAACATGCCAACACATCAAAGTGACATAACACACCAACACATCACATTGACACACCATGCTGACCCAACATGCCGACACATCAAAGTGACATAACACACCAACACATCACATTGACACACCATGCTGACCCAACATGCCGACACATCAAAGTGACATAACACACCAACACATCACATTGACACCCCATGCTGACCCAACATGCCGACACATCAGGGTGACATAACACACCAACACATCACATTGACACACCATGCTGACCCAACATGCCGACACATCAAAGTGACATAACACACCAACACATCACATTGACACCCCATGCTGACCCAACATGCCGACACATCAAAGTGACATAACACACCAACACATCACATTGACACACCATGCTGACCCAACATGCCGACACATCAAAGTGACATAACACACCAACACATCACATTGACACACCATGCTGACCCAACATGCTGACACATCAAAGTGACATAACACACCAACACATCACATTGACACACCATGCTGACCCAACATGCCGACACATCAGGGTGACATAACACACCAACACATCACATTGACACCCCATGCTGACCCAACATGCCGACACATCAAAGTGACATAACACACCAACACATCACATTGACACACCATGCTGACCCAACATGCCGACACATCAAAGTGACATAACACACCAACACATCACACTGACACACCACGCTGACCCAACATGCCGACACATCAAAGTGACATAACACACCAACACATCACACTGACACACCACGCTGACCCAACATGCTGACACATCAAAGTGACATAACACACCAACACATCACATTGACACCCCACGCTGACCCAACATGCCGACACATCAAAGTGACATAACACACCAACACATCACATTGACACCCCACGCTGACCCAACATGCCGACACATCAAAGTGACATAACACACCAACACATCACATTGACACCCCACGCTGACCCAACATGCTGACACATCAAAGTGACATAACACACCAACACATCACATTGACACCCCATGCTGACCCAACATGCCGACACATCAGCCAATACAACAAGGTTATGAAGCTCTGTAAGGCATCTCAAAAAGGGGGTACTAATACCAGTACTGAGTGAGTGAGTGGATGTGAGTGAGTGAGTGGGAGTGAGTGAGTGTGAGTGAGTGAGTGAGTGAGTGAGTGAGTGAGTGAGTAAGTGAGTGAGTGAGTGAGAGAGTGAGTGAGAGTGAGTGAGTCAGTCAGTCAGTGAGTGAGTCAGTGAGTGAGTGAATGGGAGTGAGAGAGTGGGAGTGAGAGAGTGAGTGGGTGGATGTGAGTGAGTGGATGGGTGAGTGAGTGAGTGAGTGAGTGAGTGAGTGAGTGAGTGAGTGAGTGGGAGTGAGTGGGAGTGAGTGAGTGAGTGGGAGTGAGTGAGTGAATGGGAGTGAGTGAATGGGAGTGAGTGAGTGAGTGAGTGAGTGAGTGAGTGAGTGAGTGAGTGCAACCTTCAGTGCAAGGTTCCTACAACTTGATGGCTCATACATAGTTGCTCTCATCAAACATGAAGACATGGTTCAGAATTACTTGTATTTCAGTATTTATAAAATCTTACACGCAGAGTTTCCCTGATGCTGGATGGGCACACTTAGAAAACATACCTTTTAAACAACAGATCTTGTGACGGTGTATATAATATGAAACCTGGGATACAAAATTTACAGCAACAGGAATGTGTACAAACATGTGAAATTAATACACAAACACACTTAAAGCATGTTATTAGTCATGAAATAACCCGGGAATTCAGAAATTGAATGGGTTGTTAAAATTCTAAATGAAAAGGACGAAGGCAAACTTTCTTGATTATCTAACCCATGTTGAAACGACATTCGAGAAACATCGCTTGAAGGACGGTCCGGTACCCGTAGATTGGATTTTTGGAAGTCTGCTACGACTACAGCCATTATTGTTATAAACATGATAAATGATCGATAAAATTAATATTTTTCACCAATGCCATTATTAAAATAATTTATGCATGTTACTTTTTCCGATAAGCTTTTAAAAGTTCAAGGTTTATCGTTCTTCATATACTCAATGATCTTTACATATAACAATATAATCCACAGATGGCGCCCTTGAAAAAATGACATGCCGGTTTGTATCACATATGACCTACTGACCTTGTCCCTCTGAGCTAGAGGCAGGAGATAGGGAGGTCCGCCCACATCGGCCAGTCTCGGACTCCCACATATACCTGGTAGACAGACAACATCATCATTATCTAGCAATGCTTCATCACATCCAAAGGATAATTTATATAATTTTCAGGATAAATTTCATTTTTAAATTTTTTACATATTTCAAATGAGTTTTTTCGTACTGCTAAACACACTACTTCAGAATTTTGTGTTGTGACTGCTGTGTTGAAATATATTTGGCGGTTTGTTCCCACTTTGCCAGTCAGCTGAATGTTGTTTTAGTCACGGATTAGTGGTGAGCTGACGAAAGTCTGTTTCAACTCTACTCACTGGCAAACTCTGATCACTCAGCCACTGGATCGTACTATGATCATAACAGAACAATGTTAAATAAATTTGATTTTAAAGAGTGAACGATGTCCAACCCTAATGAAATATTTGGTATCACTGACAACACTGATCATTGCAAAATGACAAACGCACAGGTTAAGATAGGATTTATTCAAAATTCTCGTGGTAGTAGGCATTTAATATATTCTGGTTCTAAGTGTAGGGGGCGGTCAGGTAGCCTAGTGGTTAAAGCGTTCGCTCATCACGCCGAAGACTCGGGTTTGATTCCCGACATGGGTACAATGTGTGAAGCCAATTTCTGGTGTTCCCCGCCGTGATATTGCTGGAATATTGCTAAAAGCGGCGTAAAACCATACTCACTCACTCACTCTAAGTGTAGACTTTACACTACGAAAGGTACCAGAATTCACTGGAAGAGTTGTCTGGCAAACCCTGGGGAACCTTGCTGACTACAAGACAGAACAGTGGACCGAACAGGGCGAGCGTTCCACGTGGAACCACTTCAACACCCAAGGGCCACGTTCGACCAACCACGTAGAGGGATGGCATTTCCAAATTGTGAAAATGTCAGCAAGCCATCCCAACATGTATAAATTCATTGACTTGAAGTGAGCTGAGGTATAATGGGGTTTAACATTGCGTCCAAGATTATGGCACATATATAGCGACGTACATGCACGTGTGTATGTGTGTGTGTGTGTGTGTGTGTGTGGCTGCTCTCCGGGCAGACGTTCTACCACTAGACCACGGAGGCGGTCACATTGACGTGATAAAGAAAGAACAATCCAATGTTGAATTTACACTGCGCCAGTTACAGGCGACCAACCCAGAATGAAAATGTATTATGCCTGAATGTCCTGAAGACCTATCTGCTGCAGGCAACATATTCTGCCATTGAATATAGAGATGCTCTTTCCCATCTTGTTGGTGTGCCAGCATAAAATATGTCTGTATATGCTATGCTGATATGAATAATACATAAATTTTGTGATGTACATATTGATTACCTGGCTACTGTATTTGTGAATAAAATATGAATACAGAATGATATGAATGTCATTTTATAATAAAATATTAAATAATTGCTTGAATTAATAATGAAATATAATACATCACCAGAATAATGCTATGTGAATAAAAACAGCACTATGATATTATTCTATAGTTTTGGCTGGCTATAGACTATAGGCTACAGACCAAAACAGACTATTACCCAATCCCCTAATGTATAAGGAATTATCATGGCTGAGTGATTTCTACAACTGAAGACCGCCTCCGTGGTCTTGTGGTAGAGCGTCTGCCCAGAGAGCGGAAGGTCCGGGGTTCGATCCCCGGCCGCATCATACCATAAGACGTTAAAAGATGGTACTTGTTGTTACCCTGTCTGGCTTTCGCCATTAAGGGGCTAAAACAAGGACTGGTCGGCTCGGAGTATACTGGTATACTGTCTGAGTGGGGTATTCATGTTAATCTGCGGCATGGTATCTCAGTGGGCTAGCACTATAAATCGGCATCAGTCCGGACTAGTACAAGCAGCCACACACACACATGTGCATGCACGTTGCTATATAAGTGCAATAATCTTGGACATGACGTTAAACCCCATTTAACCTCACCTCTATATCTGAACAATAGCAACTGGCAAAGTGGGAACCCCTATTTTTGACAAATTGAAAATTTGAATTTCATCTAGTCTTCATATTCCCCACATACTACTTGGATCAGGGGAACACAACATAAGTTATGTTTATGCTTTTCAATTGCCATATTAAAAAAAATAAAAAATTCATAGTTTTGAACTGTGTGTTTTAAAGGGAAAAATCAAGAGCAAAGGTGTTTTATACTTTTTTTAAGAAATGTCGGTCGAGTAAGCTAAACATAAACTGTATGTGCTTATCTGTAAAGTCAAAACAGGAAGAAAAGAAAATGTGCCCCATTTTGTCAATTTATTTCACACTTTTGAAATTATAGATCAGAACATTTGTAAACCAAGAAATTAAACACAACTTCCAACAATGCTATGAGTTATTATTTATGAACTAATTCTAATACATAAATAGTTTTCTATTTTAACATATGCAAGATATTGCATTTGTGTTGCCTATTATACATGTGATTGAAAAAATAGATCTCCTGCTGTTCTAACTGTTGCTAATCACATGACACAGGACACAATATTCCTACAGAATGGCCCACATTCAGTTTTATACCAGTTCCCAGTACCTTTGGCTGACAACAGGAAGGGTTCCTGTGTGAGGTCCGGACAGTCCACGACATTCACTGTGACATTCTCAAAGTTCTTGGCCAGTCCTTCTTGCAACACTGAAAATAACATAATCACATGGATGGATGGATTGATGGATGGATGGATGGATGGATGGATGGATGGACATGGATGGATGGATGGATGGATGATGGATGGATGGATTGACATGGATGATGGATGGATGGATGGATGGATGGATGGATGGATGGATGATGGATGGATGGATTGACATGGATGATGGATGGATGGATGGATGGATTGAGATGGACTGACTGACTGACTGACTGACTGACTGACTGGGGTTTAACACCACTTTGAACAGTTGTCCAGTTATATCATGGCATGTCAGCTTAATGTGGGAGGAAAGCCTGAAAAGTGAAATTATGTAGTTCTCACACGTTTACACAAGCATGGGTATGCTGCTGGCAAACCTAGAAACATAATCAGAATCGAATCCTTGATCATAGGTTCCTGACATGGTCAAGGGAGGCAACTCTGCACAGCGAATTGGATTGCCTTAGACGACTGGGTCATCCATGACCCCTATATGCATTATTTGACATATCATTGAGCCTCCATATATTCTGGTTTATCACCCTAAACTGGCTTCCACAGGAGATACTGTTTGAGTGAGATCAAGAGAACTCCAACATTGTCCAAGGAGATATCACTACCATATAATTACATCACAATGCTTTGCAGACTATTGTGACATCACTGGTTACCATGACGTCACAATCATATGACATCACTTAAAATAAGATAAGATATCTTATCAGCTTTTGAAAGGCAGCAGATCACTTAGATTACATGTCACAGACTCACTTGTCATACTGAACTAAAGACAAAGTTTTAGTTTTATGTATAGGAGAATGTCCGAAAAATAATCGCGAGATTGAGGACTTTCTCCTACTTAAAACAAAGTTTGATCAAGTGAATGCCTCGAACTAATCTTCAAGTGATTTTCACTATACTATGTTATACTATAGGAGGGTGACCGCTCTTGTTTAACTATGGGAGGGGAACCTTTCAAGGAAAACTATGGGACGATTTAGTACCCATACTCAAGCTATTGGAGTGTCAGCAAAATGATTGCGTCTATCCAACTGTCATTAAAGTTCACGTAACTTTGTTTTAAATTGAAATAATGTGTGAAACCCACCGATATTTTGTTGGGATAATTCCATACCCTGCAAAAAGAATCCTCACTCACTGACCATCAGTCAAGGTTCCAAATAATCTTTTAAGCCACTGCATATTTAATGTTATCATTCACTTTGGGCAAGGATAGTTTTCTGTGGGTATTCAACATAGTCTTACTCCCTTGGGTCCAGAGAGTATATTGGGTATTTTTAAACCAATGTGTGAACCCTTTTTTTAAAAAGTCAACTTAAAACTGTTTCTAATTTGCATCTGTTAGTGTGATGTCCCAAGCATCTCACGTATTGCATAAGCTCATAACAGTGATGCATGTCTAGGTTATAATGTGCCAGCTGTAGCACTTGTTGGCTCTATTCACAGCAGTAGAGTTCACATACCGTATTCGACATAATAAGCGCCCAGGGGCGCTCTCGAAATTAGAAATAGGTGGCTCTTATTAGAATATTATACGCAAATAAATAAGTCTTGTGTACATTGATCAATCAGAAGGGGTGCTAATTGGCATTGTTCACTAGCCAATATATTGGCAAATGTTGCCGTGGGCGCTTATTAGACTGAGGCGCTTATTACGTCGAATACTGTATATACATGATGCCTGCATTTGATCAGGTACAAGCTGAAAAGGCTACTTTGGTTAATTATATGCACAGTGTAGGGCTGGGACGAGTCCAAATTTACTAACCGGGTACTCACCTCCCTATTACCCGACCCTACTCGGGTACCCATTATAGGTCTCAAGAGATACAAAATGTCCGATTAGGAAATTTATTTTACCACAGCACTTGCAAAACGTATTTAGATACATGTATTTAATGATCTGGTCATGCATACACTGAAGTTGACTTCAGTTATGTCTTTATTCAACCATATGAAAAGTCAGAAGGAATGGGTGCATAGTCAGAAAGAAATGCAAACATTAGTGACTCGTAGTGTAACCATAGAGTTCTAGATAATTTTTGTCATTAAACTACATATCACACGACTAACCACGGGCCCGGGTAGTCCTGTGGGTACCCGGGTCCTACTCAGTACCTACCCGACCAAGTTACCCGTCCCAGCCCTAGCACAGTGTTATTTAGCTGAGAGACACAATGGCGACCCCATTGCGTTGCTCATCTATGTAAGGTTTATAGCAGAGAAATTGTTTGTTGTTTAGCATTACTCTCAGCAATATTCCAAATATATGATGGCGTTTGGACCAGACAATCCAGTGATTGAAATTGTGAGCAACGACCCGCACCGCCGGGGTAAGATGACAAGCAAACAATGAAGTCCCTAAGCCATAACCACCCGATCAAATTGGTTGACCAGCAGAGGTATCAATTCATACCACCGCATAACAGCAGTGTTTATAATACCCTCCTGCCCAACAGTCCAAGACAGTCTATGTTGCTGACAGACGGTCAGTTTTGAAAACTTGCATGCCTGACGGTCGGGAGTGAAAGGGAAACAACTCTCCAACACTTTCAACTCTCAGCCATTTTAATTTGCCCACATAATCGCCAGATGCCACTTAGCATCAGCGACCCAATAAAATTAGTTTTCGACCAATCCTCGCGTTTGATTGGATGATGGTTACATTAACCTTTCACCTTGTAAATTCGTCTGCGTGTGTAAATGTGTATGTACAATTATGAGTTTAGTATAGATCTACAGTAAATACGTGTATGTAATATTTTTGCTAAATCAAATACTCAAAACAGCAACAACCCTTATTTTTCAGGCAAATTGCATGTAATACAACAATTACTACACCCTTCTTCATCCATGTTTCATGGTATAAACCCTACACATGTGTATTTGTCGTCATTCACTTGATGTTCATTAATGGCTTTATTACAGGTAGAATTAGGGGTAGAACTCAATAACGTTCACCCCTGCCTTGGACATCTTCCCGAGGCAAGAGAGTTAACTGACTTTAAAAGTCCAGTTTCCACCTTTGCCGAACTAGGCTGGAATTCCTGGGCTCGATAGTAGCGCCACCAGTGGCTATTACGAGTTATGTCCTTTCCATGCCTCTCCTATTGACCAATCAGATTCAACCTCTCGTATCACTTGCATTTGCTTCAAACAAAACGGTGGCGCCCAGTCATGACGATCTGATCGATATTCAAGATCTATATTGTGATAAAAAGAGTCTTACATCGCGAAGTGCATCAAATCACGTGATAGCCTTGATTAAAAACACGAAAAGATTTAGAAAACATCTGTTGACATCGTGTTAGCGGTGCACATGCTTTGCAAATCCTGCAGTCGACCGAAATCTGCATGACACTTTACGAACCGGATTTCGATTTCGGTGCGCGATTTTAATTGGACTATGCATAGACTTGTTAGTCCAGCCAAAATGTAACTCCATAATACCAGCCTAGTTCGGCAAGGGTGGAAACTGGACTTTTATAGTCAGTTAACTCACTTGCCTCGGGAAGATGGCCTTGGAGGGTGTCAAGGATATTTATATTTTATCATATAATGGGTAGGTTTCTCTGCAGGATAAAAGCCTATGGATAAAAACGATATCCGTTGGGGTCATATGCGGATAGAGATGCAAATATCAAAGGTCAAGTAGGGACTACTTTCACTTTTTACAAACAAACATGGCGTCGCCCTTGTCATTCGGCGATTGAGTCCGAATATTAACCATCGGGAATTTGGAGAAACTACTGGGATAATTGCTATCATTATCAAAAGAACAGTCTAATATACTGAAATCAGTGTCTAACTGTAACTTAGCTAAGACATTTTACAAGTTTTGGCAGCTTTGGAAACAAAAATTTCGAAACAATTTTGCGAGGGCACTAGTCCTAGCCAAGCGGGATCAGTAGCCATCTCTGTGCTTGTAGACCTCTCCGGCTTGGAACCTTTCCCACAAATAAAAATAGTTGTATTTGGCCGAAATATGTTTGAATTGTTACCTTGTTTCGTTTTGTCGCTGTGTGTACATCTGACAGCACTTCGTAACGTTATGACAGGACAGGCCGACTGTCAACAACGTCTGAATGTGGCTATGACGTCTCATAGACTAGGGTTAGAGTAGCTTACCTTTGACAAAGGGCAGTTACTCTACTGGACAGACCGATGTATTGCCGCGAGAGGCAAGTAAAAACAATTATTGTTTTGCGTATATGTTGCTTCGCCACTGTATAAGAAACAGATTTCAGTTGGAACTATATTGGCCACTGTCACTGTCAAACTGACACATCACTTACCCTGTGACGAAATAAATATTAATGCACGCATTCCAGGAAAACTTGCAATGTTTCGGTAATGTTTGTGAGAGAGGGAAAGCGATTTTCAAGCACAGAGTTAAAGAATGACATTATATGATAAAGAGGTTATCACGCTTGTGTGTTTGGGGATGGTAAATAGCCTGTATTAGGAATAAACACTATGTATTTAGCTCGCCAAGGATTGCTAAATACAATGTTTATTCCTAATGCAGGATATATACCATCCCCAAACACACTCGCGTGATAACCTCTATATAATTCTTTTTTATTTAAAGCCTCACTCAGCGCTATTCCAGCTATTTGAAGGCGGTTTGTAAATAATCGAGTCTGGACAAGACAATCCAGTGATTAACATCATGAGCATCGATCCATGCAATTGGGATTGATGACATGCATCAACCAAGTCAGCGAGTCTGATCACCCGATCCCGTTAGTCGCCTCTTACAACAAGCATGTTATGTAACATGCATGTGGCAGCACAGCAAGAGAGGAATGGTCAATTGAATTTCTGCCTATAAAACAATGCCTAACAGAAGAGAAAATACAAGTTAAATTGTAAATCATCATGTCTACAGAAAATTCATCTTTAATTACATATTTTTATTTACTATGTTTGCTATCACCTGTTCGTATATTACCTGAATTCTGTAAAGGGATACTATGTAGTTTTTTACTGTGCATAATATGATGTGTTGACCGATAGCTTCACCCTTTCAAGTCGTGAATGCATTAATCAACAATAAAACACATGTCAGTTTGGCTGCAGCATCTTATAGTATATCCTTTCTTATGATATCCTTCAATGGTCGCATCGAGCAGCGAGAACTGCACCAAACACAAGTCTAACCAGTCAAGATTATAGTCCTGAATAAGGACATTTTGAAACCAAAAAAAAAAAGCCCATCCATATTTCAATACTTTCAAACTAAGAGTGTTGTTTCCCCTTTAAAGGGGCACTGATCTAACGCAATTCCCCGACTGGTTGTTGCCTTTGTTATTGTTTTGAGTACCCAGATGATACGCAACGCTACTGAGTGAGTGAGTGAGTGAGTTGGGTTTAACGCCACTTTTAACAGTATTCCAGTTATATCACGGCGTGTCAGCTTAATGTGGGAGGAGAGCCCGAAGTGATGCAGGTCTCAGACGTTTACCACTTCGGTGAAACCCACGAGCACGAGTATGGTGCTGACAAACCTAGAAACATAATCGGGGCGAACCGGGATTCGAACCCACAATCATAGGTTTCTGGCGTGCCCAAGGGACGCGACTCTGCACAGCGAATCGCGGCGCCTTAGACGACTGGGCCACCCGTGCCCGCAACGCTACTGAGCGTGACCAGAGACTGGGCTACCGTCTGCAAGGACAGCTAAATAAACTTGGAGGCTGGAGGCAATATTTGTTTTACGCATTTTTGAACACTGATTGGTTAACTGTGATCTATAAAGATTTCGACAAAGGGTGCATGTTAATTAATTTCTTCAGCCTAAACAAACAGACAAAAAGAACGGCGGAGCTCATCGGATGTCGTCATTTGGAAATACTCAGATGGTTATAGTTTAATAATAAAAAAGTATCCATGCAGTGAAAGCATTTTCGGATTTCGGATTGCGTCGATAATACCATTTCTACTCCCTTGTTGTCATCCACGTTTTCTGGTATAACCCTACACTTGTGTATTTGTCGTCATTCACTTGATGCTCAGTTAATGAATTTATTACAGGTACAATTAGTGGTAGCACCACTTAGATTACCTGACAAAGGTTCCCATTTGGCATTTATTGTCTGGGGTAATTATTCAATCTAAATCCAGGTTTGAAGTGAGGTGAAATGTGTGTTATGTAATATGCACGTGGCAGCCCAGCAAGAGGTGAATGATCAGTTGATTTACTTTTTTTGTAAATCAACGGATCGTTCCTAGTCATCAAAGGATTAACAGAAAATACGTTGATTGATTAATCACTGTTATCTTGCACAGTGGATATGTCAAAAGTGAGTGTTTACATGTCTAGGTTTACTAAAACAAAGTGAATACACTCATATCATGGCGTGAAGTGCCGATGTAAAAACAACATACAGTCAAGTCTCGTTAATCCGACATCGTTGGTTGCACATGATTGTGTCGGATTAACGAGTATGTCGGATTAACGAAATTAAGTGATTTGTGATCGAAAATCGGACATGTTCACGATAGATAATAACCGTGTGTTTCCTCGTGTAAATGCAAGTGCTACTGTCTTAACAACTTGCTTCATCTACTTAAAATAGTCTGTCAGTGTTTTCTGTTTCTCACATTTTGAAAGCACATTTCTCAAAGTCCCCTGTTCGCTTGATGTCTAGGGCTGGTGGTTCTTCAGCATCAACATTGTCGAGGTGTAATTTCATTTGTTTCTTATAATAAAGCTTGAAATTCTTTATGATCCCGGCATCTAGTGTTAATTGTTAAAGTTAATCTCTGCAGCCGGTGCGTGTCAAAACATGGGGTTGTGTACTCGCGGGCAGATGACCACGGAGTACGCTGACCACTGTGTCGGATTTAACGAGACTGATTAATGAGTGATTTCGGTATTTCGTTGCAAATTAGGTGTGTCGGAGTCGGAGTGCGAGAATGTCGGATTAACGGGACTAAATAGCGCTGAATCAATCGGTTCCCATCATTTGTGTCGGATAAAGCCGAGTGTCGGATTAACGAGTGTCGGATTAACGAGACTTGACTGTACTTTGTTCAAAGGGTTAACTGATAATACGTTAATTGATTGCTCATTGTTATCTATCACTCAATGGATTTTTTAGGAACCGTGGACGATATGAAAATAGTTGTCACGTGGGCTTTCTCAGCCGACCCTTGAGACTTGACACCTATGTGAAACACCTGAAACAATCTAAGTGATCAGTTGAGAAATGAACACGGGTTATCTTTTAAAATATTTGATTGTTACAGAGACACGTGACATCGAATAAGTTTCTTTGTACAGCTGCAGACAAGTGGGATATTGTTCCTTTGTGTGGATATTCACGGATACACTCCTCGAACAAGGAAGCTGCCTCAAATTATATACATAAATTTGGTAGGTTGTAATTATGGTATTTGCATTTTGTTTTCCTTCATTTGCTGTAGCATTGAACCGATTCGTTCTTGTTCCTCTACGTCTTGGTTGGGAAATTCTTCAATGCGCGATAGACGTTGTTTCCACAAGTCTTTTCCTTTGTAGGCATGTATATATTACCGTTAATTTGTAAAATTTATAATTTATAATGCAATTTATAAAATGTGTAAATATTTCAGTCATTTTGACTGAAAAATCTGTCCACATTGACTAAAATTGATTAAGACGATCAAAAGGGCCTAAAAACTTCACAACAGATTATTATGTAGGATTAGAAGCCAAACAACATAGAAATGTACTTTTCAACGTAACATTTTCAGTCTCTTGGTGATGACATTAAACATCAAAATGTTTGGAATTCGTTATCATGATAATACAGATGGACATATTTTTCAGTCACTTTGTAAAATAACTGAATATTTAGGCGTTTAATAAATTTGAAAATGTTACACATTTTGAGAGTAAAAAATACACACACTATAAAAAAAGCAATGCTCAGGTGAAATATTTACTTAGTGTTGCAAGTCAAAATAGTGTAAACGAAAATCGCAAAATTACCAAGAATGTGACTTATCAAAACTTCGTAGCATTACCGTGCTACCCACAAAGATACCTAAATTTCCTTATTATCTCGAAAACTGTATTTCATTTTGTTGATCAATGTGACCATACGCCCTTATTACTACCCATAAAAGTGACTAATGTGCTTACGAATGGCGCAGCAGAGGTCGCGAACTAGTCTATATTTCTGCTATACATCCGGGTACTCACTGGGAAAAAACAATAACAAAGGCAACAACCAGTCCCGGGGAATTGCTTTAGATCAGTGCCCCTTTAAAGTTTAAAGTTACTAAGTTGACAATCCACCAATTTAATGTTATTTTCTGAGAACTAACATTAAACAGTACTATTCTTGTGTTAATCCTTTTGTTAGTCTAGAAAATTCTTTACTGGCAAAATTTAAACTGGTCTGGTAATTTTGCAGATGTTGTCTGACTTATACACTGATAACAGTTCTCGTTCTTAAACTTTTAAACAAGACGAGACAATTCTATATGGAAGTGGGTTATACCTGTAGATAAGGGCGGCGTGATATAATGCTTAGTGACCTTACCATCAATACTGGGTCAATACTCGTTCACTGGACAGCAATCCTACATTATATACTGACATGAATGACACCAGCCTATGTACATCGATCAGATAACAAAATAGATCTACCTCTTGCTGCTTCCCCCATGGGAGGCACGTGCATGGGGGCCTTCAGAACGGGAGTCGACATTGTAGTAGAGATGACGAGCAGAAATAACGTGCCTCACGCCTGTGAAATGTCCTAATTCTTCAGCTGTTCAACCTCGTGTCACGTATAAACATTAGAAGTCAAGGGAACTTACTCTCACTGCGCGATCCTTATTCAAAGAAGCGGTACTATAATATAAAAAAACCGACTACACAGACATCAACATGCAACCTTATCTCGATGAATGCCCAGTACAGAAAAACATGTACATTTCGCCAAGTGGTAGTGAAATCAGTTTGTGATCATTGCTCAGTTGTTGATGACTAGGAACACTATTAATATCATGCAGTTAACACAATGAAGAATTTATCAAGAAATCCCGTGTATATAACTATATGTCTCCTTCCCTAAAAGTAATATTTCAAAAATACCAATTACAAAGAAAGATTGTCTTGTATGTACAAACAATTTACCTATTTATTATATTTATTCCATTCATATGTGATTCCGGGGTAGAATAGGTCTTCAGCAACCCATGCTTGCCGTAAAAGGCGACTATGCTTGTCGTAAAAGGCGACTAACGGGATCGGGTGGTCAGGCTCGCTGACTTGGTTGATTCATGTCATCGATCCCAATTGCGTGGATCGATGCTCATGATATTAATCACTGGATTGTCTGGTCCAGACTCGATTATTTACAGACCGCCGTCCTATAGCTGGAATATTGCTGAGTGCGGCGTTAAACAACAAACCAACCAATCAACCATTCATATGTTACTATCTTTATAATAATAAACAGTCTAATACCTGCATCACTTCGGGCTTTCCTTCTACCTCAAGCTGACACGCCGTGATCTAACTGAAATACTGTTCAAAGCGGGGTAATCCCATCTCGCCCCCTTTGAATATCATGTAACAAAATGAACATTCCTTTTGTGGCCACGTTGTTTATTGTGCTATTATAATGTACGTATGTATGTAGGTTATAGAATATTGTCACCGTTTCGTGATGGAATCTCTGTGTAATAAAAATGCCTGTCACTATATATATCTGTTTGCCTAATGTGCTTGTCAGTGATATTATTGACCATGGGTAAGTTTGCAAAATGGAATGTTGCGGAAACCATTTTCTTTATAAGATCTATGTATTTATAGATGAAATACTTTATTTGTCTGAAAATATTAAATGTTATCGGTATTTGACATGATATTATATACCTATATCGTCACGGACAAAGGTGAAAGTACTGTCAGTATAATATTTGCTTCATGCTGATTGGCTAATTCCTTCCAATTGTTCCATTATGTTTACTGTTTACGAATGGCCCCCAACGTGATATCACGTGACCGCATTGTCGATGACGTAATCCATTTTTCATGACGTTGCTCGTGATGTTTTGTGACGTTATGAACAACAGAGTAACTGAGCTGCTGTCTCCAATTATGTGATCAGGAAACTTATTTTTTCTACATTTACTCAGACAAAAAGACTGTAGTAATATAAAGAATAAGCTACTCGCAACTAGCAATTACGGGTTATCTACCCCTCGTGAAATAATGTTGAAAGTTCCTCGCCATAACCTGACCGTATGCAGGACATAGTGGATGTTCTTGGACTCAGCGTGTGTGTCTGTTTGTAATAGTCGGCATTGAGGGGCTGAAACAAGGACTGGACGTCTGGGAGTCAGTATACTGTGTCTGAGTAGGGTAATCATGTTAAGCTGCGGCATGATATCTCAGTGGGCTAGCACTATAAAATCGGATTTGTCCTTGTTTTAGCCCCTTAATGCCGAGCACCAGACAGGGTAACAACAAGTACCATCTTTTACCGTCTTTTAGCATGATGCGCCCGGGAATCGAACCTCGGACCTTCCTCTTTCCGGGCAGACACTCTACCACTAGACCACGAAGGCGGCCCTGTGCAGTGGACGAAATAGACATTGTCCCGTATGCCCGAGGTTGACAGATTTCTTGATTCTTTTGTGGTGTCCCTCGCCGTGATATTGCTGGAATATTACTAAAAGCGGCGTAAAACCTCGCTCACTCACTCACTAACTCATCGTACACCGACAGCATAGAACATTGTTCATAAAGTTCATCATTGGATTGTCAGGGCCATTCGCGTATTTACAGGCATTATTGGACAAAAACGACATCTTGCTTACTGGACCCTCTCCAGAGATAGTGAGTGAGTATGGTTTTACGCCGCTTGTAGGATAAAATATGGTGAAAATATATAATGAATAAAATCGATCGTTTCATCAAACCAATGGAATCGTTTCCTTGCTATAATATATATTGGTGGACTGATCCATATAGAACTATAAACTTACCTGAAAGTTTATATTAACAAACAACATTCAATCACTTTTTTGATAATCTAAAAACTATTTGAGAACGGAATTTGGTAATACCTGGAGCATTCAAGAAAATAATGACAAATATTTTCACTTTCTGAACCACAATCACATGATTTACCTGAAAAAGATCAGATTTCATGGATGCCGCAGAAGCCTAATATGAAGAATATTTACTTTTCTGTACTTTTTTAACTGGAATACCGTTGCCTGAGACGTAATACAATACACATATAATCCTGAGATATACATCAAAATCCTGTAAATATGGACAATGTTAGTACGGAAACCCCGCTCTAACGACTAATCCTGTTAGGCAAGTCTACTGATGTACCAAGTTAATTACTCATTAACACATTTGGTCTGTTTGTTTGTTTATTGCTCAACGCTGCACTCAGCAATATTCCAGCTATAAGACGACCGCATGTAAATAATCAGGTTTTGACCTGAAATTCCAGTGATCGATGTTGTGAGCAACGATCCGGCGGGGTATGATGACACACTATCAACCGAGCCTGACCACCCGATCCATGTGGTCGCTTCTCACAACCAGCATAGATATCTGAGGACGTATTTCAACCCGGAATTAATGAGATACTTAGTAGCTTAGTGATTTAGAAATACGATATCGTCTAGATTAACGAGATTCGACAGTAGATATCTAAGCACACCCGCATTGTGACTGAAGAGAGTACCTCTGACGGGGGGACGCTTCCTCCCCAGACTTTACTCTCAGTGAATTATGTAATGGTCTTGTACCGACTTCGATTGAGGTCATTGTGACCCAGAATCCTTGACCCACTGACAGGTGGCCATTGTTCTCACGCGCTGTCTATTTCGGTTTCAAATTCATATAATGGCTTTTTTCTCCCCACGTACTTCTCCCATGTAGTTTTAATTTTCTTCGATTGTAAAAGAGCTAGTTTGTTTAATAAATGTAGAAATTTATAGTTTTTTTAATTATCATTTTTTATTCCGGAATCCCCGATACAAGCAAGGGTGAGTGAGTGAGTTTGAGCTTTGCGCCACATCGCGGCACTATTTAAGCCATATCGTGACGATACAAGAAAGGGAACAACTGCACCCAGGAGATGCAATCCTCTTTCGAGTATAAAAATAAAAACCATATGAATACAAATTCTGATTTTTTTCCACTTTTCATACATCCCGTACTTTCATTCTTTACAACTTAACAAGGTTCCATATGTAGAATATATAGCCAAACTGAAGTAAAAAGTACCACATACAGTTCAAGGTATTCAAGGACACTGTTGTCTTCAAACAATATATATGATGCCCCGTTTGTTTATACAGTCAAACACCGTTGTGTCGAAGATGGAGGGACCTAAGAAAATATTTTGAGTTATCCAGGTTCGACACAACCGAAATGATGAATAAAGAAGGAACACACATGGACCATGCTTTTACTTCGAGATAACTGTAAGTTCGACTCATCAAAGTTCGACACAAAGGTGTTTGACTGTAATCTGTTTTGTTCGTGTCTTTGAAAATAGATTTGTTTTTCAAAGATATATCTTTATTTTAGCTCTTGCTTAAACTGTTTCAAGGTTGTTGGGGTTTTTTTCAAATTAAATTTTACACTTATAAACGAAAACATAAGCAAGTTACAAAATGAGATAAATTGCTTGAACGTTTGGCTGTTAGGCAACTTACTTCCTTTCAAAAAGGCATTAAAGCACACTATTTCAGTCTCTTCAAAACTTCAAACTTACTTGTGAAATCACAACTTAGCTAGATAAATAGTATCTTTACAAATAATATTAATCTGTCTGGGCCAAAATGATTCTTACAGCATTTAAAGATACTAGAGACACTAAACTAAGATGGTTCGACTATAGCCTATTGCGCCGATTAATACAAACAACTTTGTTTTTATTAAGATTAATATGTCAGATGAGATCAATTCAGTTTCGGGGCGGTGGGGTAGCCCATTGGCTAGTGGCTCGCTCGTTCGAAGGTCCAGGTTCGATATCCCACATCGGTACATTGTGTGAAGCCCATTTCTGGTGTTCCCCACCGTAATGTTGCTGGAATATAGCTAAAAGCGGCGTAAAACCATACTCACTCACTCACTCACTCACTCATAACGATTTCTAAAATTATGCAAATCCCGTGGGACAAAAATGGTCCTTATCATGCCTTGTCCTTTAAAGAAAACAAAAAATATTATTTTTTAAACAGGATATTCTTCTCCATCACGACTCACTTTAACTTATTTGAACGACTGTCCACTTTGAAGACGAACATCGCATTTAATTTGTTTGTGAAATTAGGAGTGAACGTTTATTATCGCTTATAAAGCACTACTAAATTCCAAACACGTTCGAATTCTAACAATTATGTTTTAATTACGAGAAAAACGGTTTATAAACTAGGTATCGTAAACCTTTGTTTTGTTTGTTTGTTGTTTAACGCCGCACTCAGCAATATTCCAGCTATATGACGGCGGTCTGTAAATAATCAAGTCTGGACCAGACAATCCAGTGATTGACATTATGAGCAACGATCCAAGCAGTTGGGATGCGATGACATGCATCAACCAAGTCAGGGAGACTGGCCACAAGATCCCGTTAGCCGTCTCTTACGACAAGCATAGTACAAGCCTTTTACGGCAAGTATGGTTTGCTGAAGACCTATTCTACCCCGGGTCTTCACGGGCCAGTATCGTAACCTGACGCACGCTGGTGGCCACTGAAACAACTTAACACATGAGGTGAGGTGAGGTGAGGTGAGGTGAAATGGGGTTAAACGTCGCGTCCAAGATTATTGCACTTATATAGCGACGTGCATGTGTGTGGCTGCTTGAACTAGTCAAGACAGATGCCGATTTATAGTGCTAGCTCAATGAGATAACATACCGCAGTTTAACATAAATACCCCACTCAGACACAGTATACTGACTACGAGCCGACCAGTCCTCGTTTTAGCCCCTTTAAGTCGAACGCCAGACAGGGTAACAACAAGTACCATTTTACTGGCTTTTGGTATCACACGGGCCTTCCGCTCTCCAGGCGGACGCTCTACCACTTGACCACGTAGGCGGTCCTTAGCACATGAGTGCACGTCTCAAGTGAAGAGTCTTATACAATCGTTTATGCATTAATGTAAAAATACTACATAAAGGCCTTTGGGCTTTCTACAAATAAACATATATGACCTGGACACTCGAATCCTGTCAATCAATCAATATATAAGCTTATGATTTCTCTCATCAGGAGAATGTAAAGACAACATGCTGATCTACAGATATCCGTCAGTACATCCGATAGTCTAATATAGAAAACGGCCATCAATCAATGTTATTTATAGGACATAATTATAAGTGTATACGATACGCTAACAACGATACATTTCCGTAATGATATTACGACGAGAATTAAATCATGGTACGCGAATGTTGAACAATATGTCCCCTATGGGCTTCCGTAGTAGCAGCTGTTGGCTCGCGCTCCTTGATCGTATTGTGAGATAACGGGCTGTTCCTGTCCGACACTGACCCACTGACCTTGTCGAGCAAAAGGGGCCTTGCAGGTGCTCGCGGACTGAAACTCATAATGAGTTTCCACAAAATAATTTCCAACATAATTCAAACCAAATTTACGGTGGCCCATAAAAGGGACATGGAGTCTGTTTTTCAATATTTTGATATTTCACTTACTTTTATCGTCACCTTTTGCAAATTAACACAATTTGTCATACAAATATGTGATAAATCATGTATAAAACAACCGAAAACATGGAAAATGTACTTTCAAGTACCTATTGAATCGCTGAAATGTGAAGCGAAAATGTGAAAAACTAAAATGAAAACACAGAAAACTATTTCCACCGCGGTGGAATTAATTTTCTGTATTTTCATTTTCGTTTTTGACATTTTCGTTTTTGTTTTGGACATTTTCATTTTAGTTTTTGACATTTTCGCTTCACTTTTCTGCGATACAATATCTTCTTTATACGTGATTTATAACATATTTGTATGACAACTCGTGTTAATTTGCAAAAGGTTACGATAACAGTAAATGAAATATCAAAATATTGAAAAACAGACTCCATGTCCCTTATGGGCCACCGTACAAATTGTTGCTCATTTTGAGAGTATCATTCATAATTATTTCCTTTAATACTCCTGTCGATCGTGATATTTCTTAAAATCATGATAATCTTGTATTTATTAATAACTAAAGATAAGAAGACGAGAAATATCATTGTGCATTTATGTCGGCAGACACAAACCTGGAGCAGACGTTATCGTGTTAATAAACTCTATGAGTTGAAGCATACGTGTTAAATGATTGGTTCAAAAGAAATATTTTTAAAAAAAATTCTGTTTGTTTCATTTTTTTTCTGGACATAACACATGCATTTAACGCACATTGCATTCTATTTGTTATGATTGTCCGGTTTTCGTTCACACGCCAACTCTTATCTTGTCTGGCGGCAAGGGTGGCCCAGACGCCCAATGCGTCGCAATTCGCTGAGCAGAGTTGCGTCCCTTGAGCACGTCAGGAATCTATGATTGTGGGTTCAAATCCCGGTTCACACAGATCATGTTTCTAAGTTTGTAAAACGTATCCCCAAGTTCCAAATACATTTTTGAGATCTTTAGGGTATTACCTCTTTGAATGTATACTAGAAACTAGTAATTCGACCTGAATATTTCTAGTAGGGATTCATTTGGGCACTTCCGATACGATACCTGAATTCCAAAACTATTTATTGTAAGCCCCGGCTGTCCTGAGGATATCACTGAAATGGTACTATTAAAGCAGCGCAACACCCAACTCAATCATTCACACAAGGTCTCTCTCTGAAATGCTATGACGTTTGATGACAACTGAATCGCGTGGCTTTCGGAAGGCGAGAAAAATCAACTAAATTGAACTTTCTTTAATAAATATGAATGAAACGCAATATTAAATGGATGTCGTCAGGCCGAAATCAATGTGTACACTCGAATTTCATTCTGATCTCCCCGGGGAGTACACAACCCAAGCTGCCTGTGAAGTTTACAGTCACATGACCATCTCATCCTACCTGGTACCCATTCACTGCTCGGTGTACAGAGGCATATTTCGATCAAAGTCACAAGCTAAATGACACCACTTGTTCTTCATGTCCTTGAGTGTTGGGCAGGACAGAAGCCATTGGACCCATGCTTGCTGTAAAAGGTGACTATGCTTGTCATAAGAGGCGACTAACGGGATCGGATGGTCAGGCTCGCTGACTTGGTTGATGCATGTCATGGTATCCCAATTGCGTAGATCGATGCTCATGATGTCAATCACTGGACTGTCTGGTTCAGACTCGATTATTTACAGACCGCTGTCATATAGCTGGAATATTGCTGAGGTCGGCGTTAAACAACAAACAAACAAACAAAACAGAAGCCATTGAAACTCTAAGGGGGTAAGTCGTTGAACCCGTCTCCAAGGAGACTGTACAGTATATTGCGTGGGAAACAAAAACGATATACAAGCACTGTATTGAGAGGTGTTTTATTTGTGTTAAATATCGGTAACATACATATATGGCACATATGAAAATGTACAATGAAATGAAAAAGGCGACTTAACAGGTTACATATATACAAGCGGAAACAGCACTCAATTCAGTTAGGATCATACAAAACGCTCATGGATTTGCATTCAACGGAGCACATTTGCACAAAGACTATCGTCACTCGCAGACTTTAACACAGTCGTAAAAGTGAGTGAGTGAGTGAGTATGGTTTTACGCCGCTTTTAGCAATATTCCAGCAATATCACGGCGGGGGACACCAGAAATGGGCTTCACACATTGTACCCATGTCGGGAATCGAACCCGGGTCTTCGGCGTGACGAGCGAACGCTTTAACCACTAGGCTACCCGACCGCCCCCAGTCGTAAAAGAGTTGCAGCACTACTAATACTCAGAGCATATCAGCCACAGGCCGAAAAACGCCTATTCAGTAGACATATTAAACAAGTTTAGACATAGCCCGGGACCTTTAAATTGGCTCCTGGTCCTGAGGGCGACGAGGTAGCCTAGTCGTTAAAGCGTTCGCTCGTACGTCGTGATCCGGGTTCGATCCCCCACATGGGTACCGTTTGTGAAGCCTATTTCTGGTCTCCATTGCGGGACTAATGCTAAAAGCGGCGTTAATCCAAACTCACTCACTCTGATCCTGCTCTCTTATGAGAGACTTGATAAACTAAACGTAATAATCAAATATGCCCCCAAATAATTTAGTTACGCGATAAATCGCAAAGAACAATGAAGAACGAAGCGTGGTTTATTTCACGATAAAACATTGTTCTGTCATGATGTCTTTCCTGGAGATTCGAGCATGCGCTCGCAACTTGATGACGTTATTTTTGAGAGGGGAGCATCTAGTGAGTTGTTTCCCATAGATGTAGGAGGGCAACGCAGATAAACGCAATGACCGATCGATCGCATCCAAAGGCGGGAGATATATGACAATCGGTATTGGGAGAAAAGGTACAGGTAATCGACTTGAGGATTTTGAGAATATATGGGAAATATCCACCTGTGCAAAAAATGGACTTGTCCGACATTGCTGGGGTGGGATTCTTTTGAGGGAGTCATCATTTTTTAAATACGTGTAAATCGTTTCAAAGGTTGTACATTTTATCATCATCCTTAAAGAGGCTGTACATAATGCTGATATCTCATCCAAGAAATAAACGACTGCGCCCCTCATGGTTTATTCTCCCTGTAGTGTTTATTGTACGATCAACAACTCCCACTCGTCGTTTATTTCTTAAATAAATTAGCTTTGTTTTTCTTGTACGTCAAGCAATGTAAAATCAAAAGTCGCATCCACCAAGATGTAACTCTCTTTATATCCACAATGCAAGGATGCTGATATCTAACTTCGTAAATCATACTGCGCTAAAGCATACGTCGCCGGTTTGACGGCTAACTATAAACAAATTTGTTACGAAAAGGGGAAGATAACTCTGATAACCATCAACTGGCGCCACCGGCAGAATCCGCGGACGCATTTGCATATTTAGTTAAAAATGATATCTGAGACAGAACCGAGTCTATTGTTATCTCGCAAGAGCGTGTTCAACACGCTCCTTCTGAAGAAGAGACACAATGTCAACTACGGAGAGGTCCATGAACGAGTCGAAGCACCACATGGTGACAAGCGTGAAGAACACAAACACATAGAGCAGCAGCATCAAGGTGCCGTTCCTTTCCTTCCGGGACGGGCGCTTCTTTGCGCACACCTTCCTGCAGGTGGCGCCTCTGGTTGCTCGGGCAACGGCGTCCATGATAATTGGTCTTGCACCTTCCCACTTCCCAGGGCCGGTTAGTCTGTACTGTGCGGGGACACACGGGCCGAAAAAGCATTTAAAAGCCAAGACGGGGTCTTCAAACAGGAGTCTTTTAAAATTCGGTTTGACGCCAATTTTAGAAGCGATATTGTCCATATACTCTATCCAGTAAGTCTGAAATTCAACAAGATATAATGAAAGTTTCATGTTAGTTATTATGAGGTACATAAAACCATCGTTCAACGCGAGTTGCATACAAACTACAGGGTGTACGAGACTTGACGTACCTGCACAGTGTGGCTGCGAGACTTGATGTTGATATTAGGCCTAAGGCGTACCTGTCGGTGTGTCTGCGTGATTTGACCTACCTGTACGGTGTGTCTGCGAGACTTGATGTACATGTTAGGCCTAAGGCGTACCTGTACGGTGTGTCTGCGAGACTTGACGTACATGTACGGTGTGTCTGCGAAACTTGATGTTGATATTAGTCCTAAGGCGTACCTGTATGGTGTGTCATCGAGACTTGACCTACCTGTACGGTGTGTCTGCGAGACTTGACCTACCTGTACGAGACTTGATGTAGATTTTAGGCCTAAGGCGTACCTGTACAGTGTGGCTGCGAGACTTGACCTAACTGTGCGGTGTGTCTGCGTGACTTGACCTAGCTGTACGGTGTGGCTGCGAGACTTGACCTACCTGTACGGTGTGTCTGCGAGACTTGATGTAGGTGTGGTTCATCAAGGCAAATCTCTGGGACACCGACTTCAGCATGACCTCCTTACTCGGCAAACTCACCTCCCCTGCAAGAAATAATATGTCATTATGCCACTGCAAAAGCACAACCATCCTTTCAATGCAACAGCAAACCACTGGCGTTACGGGAGTAGACTACTTCCCCAGGGGCAGTGTGCCGTGCTTGTCGGGAGTTGTTTGTTTGTTGTTTAACGCCGCACTCAGCATTGTTCCAGCTATTTGTCGGCGGTCTGTAAAAAATCGAGTCTTGACCAGACAATCCAGTGATTGATAACATGAGCACCAACCACGCAATGTTGGATACGATGACACGCATCAACAAAGTCAGGGAGCCTGACCACACGGTCCCGTTAGTCGCATTTTACGCCAAGCATGGGATGCTACTAAGTATTCTAACCCGGATCTCCCCGGTGCTTGTCGGAAGTGAGGACTGAAATAAGGAGGTTAGAATGTGTGACGGGCTAACTGTGTCACTGTGTCCAGAGTGAGAGCGTGTGTTGGGTTTAGCTCCGCTTTGAACAGTATTCCAGTTATATCACAGCGTCTCAGTTTAATGTGTGAGGAAAGCCAGAATGGATACAGGTCTTAGATGTTTACCACTTTGTTGAAACCCACGAGCACGGGTATGGTGCATACCTAGAAACGATCGGAAGGAACCGGATCCGAACTCACAATCAATGCGACTGACTGCATCCTTAAACAACCATTCGCTAGCGGAAGTGTGACCTACCTTTGACCAGCTTAGTGAACCATCGGCACTGCATCTCGGATATTGGCATAATGGCGCCGATTGGTTGGACGAGTCCAATCACACTAAATGTAGGGTGGGTCAGGTTGGTCGGAAACATGTACTGATACAGGTGCGTCTTGTTGTTGTCAATCCTCAGCACATCTTCATCAACAATATCGAGCCGGTAGTCATAACCAGTCGCATATATCACGGCATCTATGTCCTCAAAAGTATCGTCTGCGAACTCGACGCCATTTTGAGTGAATGTCGTTACGTTCGGCTTGATGCTGACTTTTCCAGTCACCAGCTGGTAGGGAAGCTCGTCGTTGATGGTCGGATGTGCTTCAAGCGCCCTAGAATAATATAAAAAAGAATTAAAAGAATTATAAGTGTGTATATTAATGTTTCCCAACGACGTCACTAATTCTTTGTCTTTGTATCGCGCAAAAAAACAAGCATCGCCAGTACAAAGGTCACCAACAACTTGTTGACAATATTATACTACTGAAAAAAGGTTAAGGGACACCCGAATTTTTCACCTTACTACTGTTAACTGTCACGTGATGACAGATTAACAGTAGTAATATGAAAGAATTGGGTGGTCTTTCAGTTTTTTGTAAAAACAGTCACCCAATCAAATTACTCCCATGAGCGAGGGAAATTCTGTGCTACGCTACAGACAGATGCGATGGAGATGGTTGCCTATTTCGAAACGAAGCAATCTTGGCGAATGGGTTCTTGGTATCCATCATAATAGAAGAGAGATATAATACCCTGGACAAACGAGGATGCATACTTACCCCGAAACACAACATTCACAGTCACTTGCCCCGCATTTTAGATAATATGTCATAAAACATTAAATTAAAGCTTACTAAAAGAGCAATAGTATATCTCAACCCCTACCCATGCTGTGGCGACAGACCAAACGTGTCATGGTCCACTTTGAAGTTAGCCTGCTTCTCCACGACCCACTGTAGCAGGTTGAGGGGCAGTGAGAACACGAACCGACTGTTGGCAAGGAGATCAGCAGGGATCCCCTTAATACTCGTCTTGCCGATGATCCACGCACCCCTTCGAGTGCTCAGGAACACCTGCGGGAATGGGATACTGCAATTCAACAAACTGTCGGACAAAAGAAAGTATCCACTTGAAAATTGGATTTGACCAAAACATTACCAACGTTATTAAAACGTCACTAGGCTGAAAACAGAAGCCGAAACACTGAAAACTTAGATCCAAAACACAACTATGATACCCCTATCAAATATATCACCGTCGAATACCCATTTCTTGTTTGCCTCATTTTTTAGCCCGTCGCTATATGGCTGAAATAATGCCGATGCGACGTTAAATTTTAAGTTTTAAGTGTAACTCACTCACTCATTTTTGGCCTCCATCAAACATGGGTGTATACTTTCTTTTGCCCGGCAGTTTACGTGCAGGGTCAAGAAATGTCTATGACTCGTGCATAATCATATTATCTTTAAGAATCCCATGGGGTTCAGTGTTGGAAGAGTCCCTGGCCTGGCTCTAGAGGAGACGAAGTGCAGCGTTCGGTAGATGACGTGTCAACGTACCCCGACGGCGTGGATCGTTTCGCATATATCAGTCACTGGATTGTCTGGCCCAGGTTCGATTATATACAGGTATGTAACTAGAATATTGTTGAGTGCGGCGTTAAACAATAAACACACACAGCAGTAGTAGTTAGTAGATAGTAGTTATTAGTACAGACGATGGTACTAGTTGTAGTGGCAGTAGTAGTAGTAGTGGTGAGTAGTAGTAGCAGTAGTAGTAGTAGTAGTAGTAGCAGTTAGTAGATAGTAGTTATTACAACTGACGATGGTAGTAGTAGTAGGAATAGTAGTGGCAGTAGTAGTAGTGGTAGTGGTGGTAGTAGTAATAGTAGTGGTGGTGATTAGTAGTAGATAGTAGTTATCAGTACTGACGATGGTACTAGCAGTAGTAGTAGTGGTGGTGGTGGTGGTAGTAGTAGTGGTGATAAGTAGTAGTAGTAGTAGTAGTAGTAGAAGTAGTAGTAGTAGTAGTAGTTTCTGCTCACCTTCGATGCTGCTCGGGACAAGTCCACGGCGATGTCCGCAGCTGAGTTACCAATGCCTGCAAACAAAACAATACAACATTTGGTCAGCATTATCTTGACGTTAACATTGGTTTTTTTCAGGATATTTCACTTAGATTGGGGGGTGCCTAGTGGTTATAGCGTTCGCTCGTTTGATTCCCCACATTGGGACAACGTAGGATCGTGCCTGGCGTCTACATTGATATAGCTCGATAATTGCTAAAACTGCCTGCAACCCCACTCACTCACTCACTCTTATCTTCTGTATAGAGTAATGACTTTCGAAGAGACGAACGTACTTATAACTGTAAGGAAAATACGAATAAACCCATGCATTGAGAACTGCATCCCAAGATGTCATATTGTATATACATATATTTCATAACTTTGCAATGACAACTGAAAACAGGATTTCACCAAAACATTTGCAACAGATATCAAAACGTTCCTAGGCTGAAAACAGTCGCCGAAACACTGTATGTTATTTTTCCAAAACACAACTAGGATACCCGAACCCAATACATCACAATGGAATAACCAGTTCTTATTAGTTTCAATTAAACACCATTAAACACGGGTGTGTACTTTCTTTTTCCCAGCAGTTTAGCAATAATGTATTACATTCACTTAATGTTCGTTATATTCCAGAATGGAAACAAGAGGAAGAAACATGACGGTATAGCCTCGGTATCAATTTCAGAAAGAATGGGACTCAAGACCAAAATGGGCGAAAATGGGCATTATATTTCTAATTAAAGTATAATATTTATGGCTACACGTACGAAACGCCTTTTAGTGAATGGTGGCGAAGTTACACGGCCTTGTATCGCATATTCCAACCTCTGATGGTCATAGCGCTAAAACGCTTTGTGAAAGTACATACACACACAGAAAGTCACAGACGCGCAAGTATTCAAGATCACAAGCTTGTACACTTTCACATAATTCCAAACGCTGCGATTATGTTTACAAAGCCACCGAAGCGCTGTCGTAACGCCGATACTAAACATAGATTTATGATGGCCTAACACTACAATCGCTTTGAAAAGTGAGCCCAAGTTAAACACCTAAATTTAGACACAGTAGCGCTACATGCACTACCGCATACCCGTACCCGCACTCGAATCATAAATAAAATTCACAGCTTTTTGTTGTTTTTTGTTGTTGTTTTTAATTGTTTTGGTTTTTTAAAGGACGATCAGAGTCTCACATTTTTCATTCCCCGAACATATTTTGTTATATAACAGATATGTTGATTCTTTAATTTGTATTTCATGCGTGTCATAATTTATATTTACAGGTTCGCGTTGATATGCTCCTTGGCTGAAGAATAATATTTCCCAGACGTCGTCTAACCCACATCAATCACTATTATCAATCATTAAACACAAAAAAACCTTTTGACAATAACACTCGACTCGACCTTTCATTAATATTCATCAACATTCGGAGGTCAAGCACGTGACAGGTGCCCGTTGAGTGGTCAGTAGGAACAATCATTGCAGATTGATACAATCTTAGCATGGGCAGTGACCACTGTAGCGTTAAATGTGTCAAGGTCAGTGGTCATCCCGCGCCAGTCTGTGTAACTATAGGCTGTGAGAAATTACCCCAGTTTGAGCGTTTTTTCTACAAAGAATCTTAATTCAGCCTTTGTTGCTGGGGCCACGGGGCATGGTGAGTTATGCCCCGCTTGCTGTGGGTTTCATTACCGCTAAGTGCAGGACTGGGTGTTTATTTTATCACGTGACTGGATCAGGTTTTTTATGTAAAAATTTCAACATGGGTCTCTAGTTTAAGGTTCAGTGAGAACCGACATCGATTATAGTTTCTTGATAATAAGTTTGTCAAATGATTATTTTACAATTTCTCTTATAAATATGTAAAATTATGAACGATTGACAATTGTATGACACCAACCCTTCGTATCAAGCCAAAAACGGTACTGGATTAAAACATACCATAAATTCTATTATAAAAATATTTACATACACATCTTAAAAGCACATAACTTCATTAAAAAAAATTATCTAAAAAACCATTTGTGAAGATCGTAATTATTAACATACACACATAATTTGTAAACTCGAACAAGCTCATTAAATATCCGAAACAAAAGACTTCATTTCCATATTACCATCGATATAAAAAAATGCAGCATAATTTGATAATTCATACTTTGGGCCAACAAAAAAGTGGAAGAATTTTTTTTCACACATACCTATAACAAGTACTCGTTTTCCAATGAAATTACTTGAATCTTTGTATCCTTGAGAGTGTATGACGGGTCCTTTGAACTTGTCCGCACCCCTAAATGTCGGCGTGTAGGGGACAGAGTGATGACCAGTGCAGACCATCACCCCATCAAACACCCGCGTGAAGGGCGGGGCACCCTCAACACTCACCGTTACCCCCCACCGTCCTGTGGCGTCATAGTCGCTAGCTTTGCTAATGTTCAGAACTGCAGCGTTAAAGCGAACATGCGCCAGGAGTTGGAATCTTGCAGCGTACAAACGGAAGTATTTGAGAACATATTCGTGTGGCAAGAAGGGTGGAAAGTCGTGAGGAGTAGGGAAATCACTGAAAGACATCATTTCCTTACTAGTGTTGATCACCAGATTTTTGTAAATGCTTGCGCGATCATTGGTGACCGTTTCTGAAAAGTTCCAAAGGCCACCGATATCGTCCCCTCTTTCAAAACACACAGGGGCAAGGTTTTCGTCAAGGCAAGCTTTGACTGCAGCCAGACCACTACACCCAGCGCCAATGATTGCTATATACTTCATCACTGAACAACGGCTGACTTTCTGTCAGGGAATACATGCAACGGGTGAGATCGGTCCTTTTATATCATACTACTGGGCTGTCATGCGGGCCAGACGGTTGCGTTTTGGCGAACTGCGCGCGATACTGTTCGTGAACACCTTGTTATCTTTTTGTGTTTTAGAAAAGTTTCATGCGATCGGAGATGCGGTTTTCTTCTTAAAAGGGAACTAGGGTCGAGACAGTCCTAGCACATTTGATTCAAATCCCCCAATCCCACTTTTTGGGTACTAGCTCTATATGTAGGATGTGTATGTATGCACCAAGCAGTCAATTACGCGGAGAAAATGGCTCAGGTTCACTCGGCAGTTACAATAATGCAACCCGTGGAGGCATCGGTCCCTAGCAACCCATGGTTGTCGTAAGAGGCGACTAAATTAATCAGATGGTCAGGCCCGGTGACGGTTGATTGCCTGTTATCCTATCCCAATTGTATGGTAATCGATGCTCATGATATCAATCACTGGATTGCCTGACGCAGACTCGATTATTGCTCGATATAATCTCCATGTAGAGGGAGTATTGCTGAGAGCGGAATATTGCCGAGTTAAGCCACAGACAAACCCATTACAATACCTTGACCTACCTCGCTTGACGTGATATTCAGACCTCGAGTCCGCCTCGTGAATACACTGTCGATAGTGTGTGCCGTTGTGGTGGAAGCAGTGTTCTTACTCTATGAACACGGGGAACCAGTATAGGGGGTTTGTAAGGGACTGATCCAGATGTTTCAGTCTGGGTAATTACTGTTACCGCTAGTCCAGCAGGAGTAACCACTGATCCCCGACAGTCCTGTCAGAATAATCACTGGTCCCCAGTATTCCAGTCAGAGTAATCACTGGTCCCCAGTATTCCAGTCAGAGTAATCACTGGTCCCCAGTATTCCAGTCAGAGTAATCACTGGTCCCCGACAGTCCTGTCAGAATAATCACAGGTCCCCAGTATTCCAGTCAGAGTAATCACTGGTCCCCAGTATTCCAGTCAGTGTAATCAATGGTCCCCGACAGTCCTGTCAGAATAATCACAGGTCCCCAGTATTCCAGTCAGAGTAACCACTGATCCCCGACAGTCCTGTCAGAATAATCACTGGTCCCCAGTATTCCAGTCAGAATAATCACAGGTCCCCAGTATTCCAGTCAGTGTAATCACTGGTCCCCGACTGTCCTGTCAGAATAATCACAGGTGCCCAGTATTCCAGTCAGAGTAATCACTGGTCCCCAGTATTCCAGTTAGAGTAACCACTGATCCCCGACAGTCCCGTCAGAAAAATCACTGGTCCCCGACAGTCCCGTCAGAATAATCACTGGTCCCAAGTATTCCAGTCAGAGTAATCACTTACCCTCGATATTCTAGTCAGAGCAATCCCCGATCCCCGATATTCCAGTCAGATTACTCACTGGTCCCCAGTATTACAGTCAGAGTAATCCTTCGTCCTGATATTACAGTCAGAGTAATCACTTATTCCCGATATTCCAGTCAGAGTAATCACTTATCCCCGATATTCCAGTCAGAGTAATCACTTATCCCCGATATTCCAGTCAGAGTAATCACTTATCCCCGATATTCCAGAGTAATCACCTATCCCCGATATTCCAGTCAGAGTAATCACTTATCCCCGATATTCCAATCAGAGTAATCACTTATCCCCCGATATTCCAGTCAGAGTAATCGCTTATTCCCGATATTCCAGTCAGAGTAATCACTTACCCCCACTATTACAGTCACAGTAATCACTTATCCCCACTATAACAGTCACAGTAATCACTTATCCCCACTATAACAGTCACAGTAATCACTTACCCCCACTATAACAGTCAGAGTAATCACTTATCCCCGATATTACAGTCAGAGTAATCACTTATCCCCGATATTTCAGTCAGAGTAATCACTTATCCCCACTATTACAGTCACAGTAATCACTTATCCCCGATATTACAGAGTAATCACTTATCCCCACTATTACAGTCAGAGTAATCACTTATCCCCACTATTACAGTCACAGTAATCACTTATCCCCGATATTACAGTCACAGTAATCACTTATCCCCACTATTACAGTCAGAGTAATCACTTATCCCACTATTACAGTCAGAGTAATCACTTATCCCCGATATTACAGTCACAGAAATCACTTATCCCCACTATAACAGTCACAGTAGTCACTTATCCCCACTATAACAGTCACAGTAATCACTTATCCCCACTATTACAGTCACAGTAATCACTTATCCCCACTATTACAGTCACAGTAATCACTTATCCCCACTATTACTGTCACAGTAATCACTTATCCCCACTATTACAGTCACAGTAATCACTTATCCCCACTATTACAGTCACAGTAATCACTTATCCCACTATTACAGTCAGAGTAATCACTTATCCCCGATATTCCAGTCAGAGTAATCAATTATCCCCACTATTACAGTCAGAGTAATCACTTATCCCCGATATTGCAGTCAGAGTAATCACTTATCCCCGATATTCCAGTCAGAGTAATCACTTATCCCCGATATTCCAGTCAGAGTAATCACTGATCCCCAATATTCCAGTCAGAGTAATCACTTATCCCAAATATTGCAGTCAGAGCAATCGCATATCCCCGATATTCCAGTCGGAACAATCAATTATCCCCGATATTACAATGAGAGTAATAAAATGCTTATTGATTCATTCATCTGAAGGGATTTCATTACATGTTTTGTATCCGAAACTGGTTAATTGATATAGGTACTTATCGACAGGACAGGCATTTCTATGTAAATTTAAGGGTTTTATTTTTGTAAATTATAATTCTAACAAATTCAAAATGTCGAATTCATATTATGTCATCAACGTTCCGGTGTTCTTTAAACAAGTCACCATGAAGCCTGGTTGCCGCTTCATAGCCTCTCTGAAGAGTTTTACATTTTGTAAATTATAATTAAATAACTTCACATTTTCGAATTCGAGTTGTGCCTTGAATTTCCCTGTGTTCATTGCACAGGTTTTGGGAACTGTTCATATGGTATCCAAAGTGTTTTAGATTTAGAACAGTATAAGGTAAACGAACTCAAAATGTCAAGTACAAAGTCTGCGTAGTCTCACACAAGTTGTGATGTTATGATGATTATATCTCAGTCAGTTACTTGCCCACAAATCACAGCAAGCCGTGTATCTCGAGAGATGTATGAAACGGTTTGAAAGCGGAAACATAGCTGTAGGTGATTGTTTCTTTGTTTGCCTGTTATAGTTTGTTTGTTTGTTTGTTGTTAAACGCCGCACTCAACACTATTTCAGCTATATGACGGCAGTCTGTAAATAATTGAGTCTGGACCAGAGAATCAAGTGATTGACATCATGAGCATCGATCTACGATGACATGCATCAACCAAGTCAGCGAGCCTGACCACCAGATACCATAAGTCGCCTCTTACGACAAGCATAGTCGGCCTTTGCGGCAAACATGGGTTGCTGAAGACCTATTCTACCCTAACCGTCATATATAGGGGGTTTCTTCATCATCGAAATTCGCATTAAAATGTTATCACGTTACCTTTGTCTGTCTTGACAAGTATTTTCCTGTTAGAGGATTGGTCAACAAGTAAAATCATAATGATTAATCACCATTATTATGACTATTGATCTTATGATCTTACTTGCCTCCGCCGTTGGATGGGGGAGCTATAATTTATATGTTTCAGCCACATTGTGACTAGACAAAGTAATGCATGTTTATTTTCCAAAATCCTGTCATCAATGGACAGTAAAACAGGCAGTAACATCCCAGGCTTGTATCTAAAGACAGTTTGAAAAGAATATTAAGAACGGTCTATTAAACAACAATATAAAACTCAGGCTATTAATCGCCAGCAACCAAAAGCAGGTCACCTTATTCGGATATACGATACAGTGGATCCCAAGCAGGATTTACACCATCACTTTACCTGCTGGCAACTGTTGGCAAGTTAGCCTAGAATTAAAAGAAGAAAAAACAAACAAATATGCTGTTATGAAAAAGCGGTACCTAGCCATAAAAAGACTTTGAATCGCATTGTCTTACGCGCTTTTGAGTTTAAATGTAATCATATTCCCGAGCAAGGGACAACACCTAGAACAGTATAATAGAGCACCTGCCGAGGAATGCTTCAGATGACCCATCTTCTGCCCAAGGTCACACCCAGACACAAGTAATAAACAGTATATTTACATTTTCGTTACTTTGAGCATGTAGGTGAAGAAAACACGGTCACGTGACACGAGATCTCGAAGGGTCATGTCAAGGATATGTCGTGCTGCCCAGTAGTCAACATACCCGGACAAAGGGTCTGGATTTGTGTAGCTGACCCACCCCAGACCTTCACGGTAGAACGATATCGTACGTCTGTACGGGCTCTCCATGTGTCTGTCTGTACCGGCTGCCTGTGTGTCTGTCTGTTCAGGCTGTCTGTGTGTCTGTCTGTTCTAGCTGTCTGTGTGTCAGTACCGACTGTCTGTGTATCTGTACCGACTGTCTATGTGTCTGTCTGTGTGTCTGTCTGTACCGGCTTCCTGCCTGTACCGCCTGTCTGTCTGTGTGTACCGGCTGTCTATCTGTACTGACTGTCTGTGTGTCTGTACCGTCTGCCTGTCTGTGTGTACCGGCTTTCTGGGTATGCCGGTACCGGGTGTCTGTGTGTGCCTGTACCGGCTGTCTGTGTGTCTGTACCGTCTGCCTGTCTGTGCAGGCTGTCTGGCTGTGTGTACCGGCTTTCTGTGTATGCCAGTATCGGCTGTCTGGCTGTGCCTGTACCGCCTGTCTGTCTGTGTGTACCGGCTGTCTATCTGTACTGACTGTCTGTGTGTCTGTACCGTCTGCCTGTCTGTGTGTACCGGCTTTCTGTGAATGCCGGTACCGGGTGTCTGTGTGTGCCTGTACCGGCTGTCTGTCTTTCTGTACCGACTGCTTGTCTGTGCAGGCTGTCTGTCTGTGTACCGGCTTTCTGTGTATGCCAGTAT